TGTAACTTTCGAACCTGTATCATCCACTGTTTTGTATTTCTCCAGCCTTTTCTTTTATTCGTCATTTTACCTCTTTTTTTTTTTCAATGCAAAAGAAACAGTCGATCGAAACGAAGCCGCTTAAATTTTTAAAATTTTCACGGTGACTCCAACATTAATAATTTATTTGTGTTTTCTTCGTCAAATTAAGTTTCCTTGAAAATAATTTTTTTATTAATTTTCAAAGTAGTTCCAGGACTAATAATTTTCTTGCATTTTCTTTGTTAGATCAACTGATCAAAATTTTGTTTCGATCTTGTTACTATAAAATTAAATTAAAACGTGTTTAAACGTATTTCTTCAAGGATCTTTATGCCTTTCGTCGTAAATATTCCTTGCCAGGAAAATGGGATCCATCCGCCCCAACATAGTAGAAACACATGAATGAAGACCACACGCGCTCTTATGAAACAGATTCACAGATTACCAGTTTAACGGCAAGAATACCAAAGCGTGATCTAATCTACTGTAAATAGATAAAGAGAAAGATAAACAGTGTGGCAGCGTTTCCAATGCTGCCATTCCTTTATTATTTAATAATACCCGTGCCACCTGAAGAAGAACTGCGTCTTCTCACGGATTACGAGGCCATTGGTTTCGAAACTTTTCCGAGGCACGTTTGCAAAAAATAAATTTTATTCATTCATCCAAGACAAAGGGTCGTTCACGTTCGAAATTCCTATATTGAAAATTTCCTTAAACGTTCACCATTGCGAGGTCGTCCTGTTGTTTAATTTTTTTATATTTATTACATACTTCCTAGTCTGAAATATAGTATACAGCGTAAATAAGCAGAACTGGCAGGATTAAATATATGTCGTTTCTACTGTATCGAATTTGTGAATATTAAGAAATTATAAACATATATGCTGTTGTTGACCCAGTTAATTTTTCGAGTTTTAACGCGCGAAGAATTCTATAAGGTACCAAGGTAAATTTTCGGAGGGTAAACGAGACAGAAAAATCGTAATGGAGTAAAAAATTTAATTTATTAACATTGAAACTGTTCTCGTCGGCGGAGCAGCGACAAAATTTTCGCGTCGTCGCGTGCTTAGAGCGCGGCTTCGCACGGAAACCCAGCAGTTTCTATTTTCTATGCCGGGAAAACGGAGAAGTGAATGTGAACCGGAGCGTAGTTGCTCGATTTTATTCGTTGTGTAACGACGCGATTATTCGAGCACGCGAATTCGATATTAGCCGCAACCCAATTACTCCGGGCGAGGTGTGTAAAATCGTTGAAAAATCGGGGAACGTTAACGAGAATCGCGGAGAACGAAAGCCAAACGGAACGGTGAAAAAAAAAAAATGTATCGTCGTTAATGAATATAATCGAGCATTCTGTTAACGATAAATTAGAGAAGATTTCGACGACCGTGTGGGATTGTAAACAGTTGTATATCGTTGGCCGTTAAATGATAAATTAGAGAAAGTAGCGGACAGGGAAAGGAATTTAATGCACCGATTATTCTCGCTTTTTATTTGTTAGTTTCTGTGTGTATTGACTGTGGCGCCATTTTGCCACGTCCGAAGACGTCCTCAATGTTTATTTAAGTTATAACAGGAATAGTAGTTATATTACGTAATTCGACGGTGTATTTATTGTTCTATAGCATTTTTTATGACTGAGGTTATTGATAGAGTTCGTTAGTTGCGGACAATTTAAGAAATATTGAAAGTTTCGAGTGCCGGTCACCGGTGACCACCATGGCACAGAGCGCGTTTTTACAGTAAAATAATAGAGCAACAGGATAAAAGTAGAAACATGGATGGCGAACCATCGATATTGCAACAAAAATTTTACAAATATTTAAATTTATCAACTGTGAACAATTTAAGAAACGCCGGTCACCGGTGACCACCATGCCAGAGAACATATTGCCACAGTAAAATGATGGAGAAACAGGATGAAAGTAGAAAAATGGTTGGTGAATCATCGAGATTGCAGTAAAGATATTAAAAATTTTACGAGTATCAGCACTAAAAGTTTCAAGTGCCGGTCACCGGTGACCACCATGGCAGATAGCGCGTTTCTACAGTAAAATAATAGAGCAACAGGATAAAAGTAGAAACATGGATGGCGAACCATCGATATTGCAATACAAATTTTACAAATATTTAAATTGATCAACTGTGAACAATTTAAGAAACGCCGGTCACCGGTGACCACCATGCCAGAGAACATATTGCCACAGTAAAATAATGGAGAAACAGGATGAAAGTAGAAAAATGATTGGTGAATAATCGAGATTGCAGTAAAGATATTAAAAATTTTACGAGTATCAGCACTAAAAGTTTCGAGTGCCGGTCACCGGTGACCACCATGGCAGAGAACGCATTACCACGGTAATACAATGGAAAACCAGAATGAAAGTGAAAGAATGGTTGTCGAACTACCAACTTCCGTATTTACATAACGCAAAACAAAGAAAGTACGCTACACAGAGCGACCATGAATTTTCACCGAGAAGTTAAAGAAATGAATTTTCAAGGTCGGATGTTGAAAAAGATAAATCTAGATAAAACTCACAAATTTCAGCAACATAAAAATAAGGTCTACGATAAGTAGCAAGTAAGCCAGTGTCTGGTTTTCGTGGACAATTCGAGGGGTCTGGTAGAGAAATCGACAACCCTGAACCGTTACCGGCAATTCCCCCCCGTCTCTTGTGGAAAACATTCGAGACAAACAAGGGTGAGGTAGAAGGAGTGTCCGTGAAGCGGACGGAGGATGCAAGGAGCGTTGCGAGCGGTGCCGAGGGGGTGAACCCGCGGAATGAACGAATCCGTGACGTGCCTCGAGGGCAGCAACCGACACGGCGAGTTGCAGTGGACGTCCTTGCTATGTTATCTTTCACAGTTCGTTCCCTTTCACTTTCAGTGTCCAGGAACCAGAAAGCCCAGACCTCCGCGAACAAAGATACGCCTCCGCCTTCGCGTTGTCCATGCGAGATTGAAACGCCACGAAGAAACGCCGTCTCTCGTCGAAGAAGGCCTTCTCCTCTCCTCCATTCTGCCCTATTTCGTCGCTTAATAACGCTCCGTTGGCTTTTAATTAATAGATACCACGGAAACGGTACACCTAGGTACACTTGCCAAACGACGCGTGTCCCGCGCCTTTCGATTTTCAATTCCCAATATTTCATCGTCAAACATCGTCCAACATATGTTACACCTTATCGCGAACATATTGAATCCGATTACCACCGTTCTCCTACCGTTCGACGAAGATTAGAATGGTAATTGTCTTCTTTAAACACGATCATATTTTATAACCTACTTTCCAGGCTACCACGACTAATATTTCAATCGTAAAAATAACATTTCACTCGTACTTCGCAAAACTTAGTTATTTTCTAATATTTTTGGAGTATTAAATACGACTAGAATTGAGAAATTCTATGTATTTAATTTCAACTACCACCGTCCGCCATATTGGATTTCGAGTAAAATGTGTCGAGAGTACTTTCTCTTAAATTTTAAGGATATTCGCCATCTTATTTTATGCTTTTCAGACATTTATGCAATCATTTTTCCTCGTACGTGATTTTTTTTCTTTCTTTCAACCACTGTTTTAAAGTCGTATTAACGATGTTGACTGACGGTCACCGGTGACCGGCGCTCCGAACCTGCAACGTTCAAAACCTTCAAAATAAACGAACCTTGATACTTTTTTAATCATTTTTGAATAATGTTATCGGCGTTAGGAATACCGAAAGCGTAGAATAGTTAAATCAAGAGATTATAGCCTCACGAAATTCAAAGTTAAATTCAGATTTACGTGTACGTCCAGAATCCGTTATTTAAACGATCGTTCGTGGTCTAGACATGTCCGAATGCTAAATTTCTACGAGGCAATAAAGCAGCGCAGAAACTTGCAATCCGCGGCCGGGCTACGTGTCCGTTCCAGATCCGAAGAATCGCTAATTAATTCGAAATTAAAGTTTCCGTAAACCTGGAGGATCGAATTAAATGCAAAAAATAGTCGAGACATCTGTATCATCTTTCGACCTTGGATTTAGATCGTCTTAGGTGCAAGCTGTTAAATATGCAAAATAGAAATTATACGAAGATTAACATCGGACACGAAGCGAGGTTACAAATATAAAAGGATTAATTAAACAAAACACAATTGTAAAATATTGTAACACTACGAAGCAACGAGTATGCTAATATTCCGAGGCAAAACGTGTTAAGACAACTGCGATAAACTTAGATCCCTATCAGTAAAAAAATCAATTACAATGTTCTATATTTGTATCGAAGAAAGTTTAAATCGTCGATGAAACGTTATATATAATGCTATTTTTTACACAAGTTTGGATTCTCTTAGAAACCTGGCCAGGGTCGTCCATTTTAATTTTGCGAAAGTTATCTTTTAGAAATGACTATTTTCTCATTCGGTGTTTTTAAACACCGAACAGGATATTTTCCACGAAAGACTGGGTGGTGGTTACCCTATGGAAACCAGTCGCGAGGCTCGCTGGTCGGCGACAAACGTAGAAAGTTGGCTGCCAACTGATCCGTTACGTAGCATTTTTACTCCATCGTCGTAACTCATTTCGAAGAATTAAGTTTGACAACCGTCGATCGTAAAGAAACATTGCACTTGGCAATTTCTATGATTCTTCGATTACAAGTTTGCAGTCCAGTTCCCTGCTCTATACTCCTCGTTTCTAAAGAACGGGGCAACCAAACGTAAACATTCAAAATGGCGGCGAGAAACGCTAAAGAAATGCTTAGAATATTCATAGAAAAATGATAAAACTGCAATAATATTATTAACCGTATCTTGAAACATAACATAACAACGATTTTTTAAATAGATCGTAATAAATTCTACTTTCGAAGCTCTTTCGATTGAAACGATTTTTTCCCCCCGTGAATGGGTTCGAAAATAAAGTTAAATTTTTGTACTTGTCTGGCGGTAATGTTGTTTTTTAACGTAGTTATTTTTTGATCGGCAGAATGTCCAAAAATCAGACCCAAAATGGAATGATACCGGGCGACGTGGCGGTCGCTGGCGCGGATGACTTTTCAGACGGCGAGAGTACTCCATTGACTCAGGACTATGGCGAAAGGTATGTGGCAAATGTATCCTTGCGAGGCAACCACGGGTATTCGCAAACATTGTTCATCGTTTTGTTCTGAAAACGAGAAGCGAGCGAGGCTCGGTCGTTCTTTGTGCCGACCGAACCGCCTTGCATACCAAGATGCATAAATCGTAAAAATTGCACGAGCCCGCTCCTCTCCTTTCGCGTCCTTTTAACCGAATGCACGATCAAGGTAAAACCATCACGAGCCAAGGCTTTTTTCCCCGCCCCTCAAAAAAAACAATTCCAAACCATTGGAATCCGATACCAAATCATTGGACTCTACATTCATCATCTTCCTACGTAGTAAAAATTGAACGAAATAAAGTACCATTCAATTTAAAATCGTTAGAAATTCGTTTTGAACTCCTAAAATGTAATTCTTGACAATTGTGCATATTTTCATTATTCCATTGATTTTGTCTATCGAGAAACTGAATTTCAAATTCGAATGTTGCCGCTTTTTACGTACAAACGTGCTGTGTTGCAGTCAAAGGATGGTGGTGGAGACGAAAGGGTGGGACGTGTTCCGGAATCCGCCGCCAAAAATCGATTCCGGTTCGATGGCCGATCAAAGATGCCTGGAGGCGACGGTACAGATAACTAAGGTCATTGTTTACCTGCTAGTTTTTGTGATAGTGCTAGGAAGCGGTGTAGTTGCCAAAGGAACTATTCTATTTATGACGTCGCAACTCAGGGCCGATCGAACGATCGTTTTCTGCAATAAGCAATTCGGTAAGTAATCGATCAAATTTCTACGAGCAGAAAGAGCTGTCTCGATTCGATTAACACGAAAATTAACAGGGAATACAAAAATTTACAAATTCTCTGCTGTATGAACAATTTTTACACTCGCTATATGATCATTTCGATACACGTCGCTATTAATCAACGCTACCCGCGAAATAAATAAACGAGTCATCCAAAGATTGCAATATAACTGTGTTTTCGTTTAAAACAACAAAGTTTATATTTGTTTAAAAATTCGTTTACCCAATCGAGAAGAACGCGAAAATTAACAGGGAATTGCAAAACTTTTCAAATTCTCTGCTGTATGAACACTTTTTACACTCGCTATATGATCATTTCGATACACGTCGCTATTAATCAACGCTACGCACGAAATAAATAAACGAGCCATCCAAAGATTGCAATATAACTGTGTTTTCGTTTAAAACAACAAAGTTTATATTTGTTTAAAAATTCGTTTACCCAATCGAGGAGAAAAGATCGTACGAAATAGCGTATTGTAAAAAGTGGATCGTGCTCATGACATAGTTACGACGAAACGATTTGCCGCCAACGCGTACATAGTATGCCTAACAATCTAGGCAAAGGAGAGAAAGTGCGTGAAAACATGTCGAAAACACTCTCGTACGCTCGTGACAGCGGTTGGAAAATTGTTCGAGCTCGATGAGAATAATTAGAAAATTTTTTAACCGATATATTTTCTCTCGTACTCGAACGTGGGTGGCGTTTCCAATACAAACGATCTTTCTGCTTACAATTAGTCCTGACACCACCATTTTGAAACGAAAGATCATTCTCGTCGATGAGCAATCTTCATCGATCGCGCGTACAGTGCTGGACGAAACTATTTGCACAGAATTCCCTTTAATATATAAAAGTTCGAGTCAAATTCAATTAAAAAATTTGTAAAATAGTAAATAAAAACAAAAATCGAATTGTTTAAAGATAAACTAGCATGCCTTCAAACCTTTTGGAAACAAAATTCAGGATTCGATGATGACTCCTTTTTCTAATATTTTAAAAATTGTCTCTTTACTTTTGTTTCTTTAGTTACGAGACACTCTCATCGAACAGTAGAAATTTTTGTAAGGGCGGAAGACTTATTTGTACCCCTTTCAATCCTAATGGAACAAAATTTCATAGTAGTGGGCTCGGTATGATATTATAAATGAGACACACTCTGTTTTTGTGATCTTTCAGGCCGGGTGAAGGAGCTTGTGGTGACGTTGCCGGAAGAGGAGAGGATAGCGTGGATCTGGTGCATCATAATCGCGTTCTCCGTGCCAGAATTCGGCACGTTTATCCGCAGCCTCCGAATATGTATCTTCAAGTCGTGGAAGAAACCGCCGGTTGCTCACTTCCTCCTCGTTTTTCTCATGGAGACCTGCCACGTGGTCGGTCTGGCACTAATGTTTATGGCAGTGCTTCCTGATTTGGACGTCGTTAAAGGCGCGATGCTGACGAATTGCGTGTGCTTCGTGCCGGGATTGCTGGGTAAGAAACGCGATTTCGCAGTGATTAATACCTGAAGATTAAATTCGTAATAAATTGCTCGTAACCGTGAAATGATGTGGCGGAATAATTGTTACATTACTGGTGCCGGCGAGGTCGATACTTATCGAATATACGATTTGATAGGCGATATACAAGGGGCGTTCGACGATCGATTCTGTGCATAAAATCGACGAAACCTCGCGTCGATTATCGATATCGTCTTCGACCTTCTTTTCGAGTTAATGAATTTTATGTTGGAAGTCTTTTCTATTTAAAAACAGAATATCTGACCTTGTATTATAATTCTTTGAGTACTTCCTGTATAACTTAGAGTTGGGGTTGATGCTCGTGCAATAGCAACTTCTATACTAGCGTAAGTGGAAGCAGCGAGCAATGGACAGACGCGTCGGACGAACCTTAAACATTGTACACAGAAATTTTATTCTACATTTTCGACTAATATTTGTCATCTTATGGAACACCTTGTATATGTAAAAATAATTGATATTAAATAGTTTAATATCTTTCCCAAGCACTGTGTATCATTATTTTCATGATGCAGCTACAGAATTTAGTTTTGGTTCAGAGAATTCCTGACTCGACACCATTTTGGCCCAGATGTGGGTCACTGGGCCGTTTACTAAATAGTTTACTCTCTTTCTCGAGTACTATATATCATTATTTTCATTACGAAGCTACAGAATTTAGTTTTAGTTCGTTCTGTATTCAGGGGACTCCCGACGTAACACCATTTTGATCCAGATGTGGGTCACTGGACAGTCATCGCGTTAACGGTTAACAAATGCATTGTCCGTTGATCGTGTTTCTTTCGACAGCTGCACAGTCATGGAATCCATAAGACGAGGACGATGATCGATTGAGATTGAATTCGATATTGTTTGCACAATTTCATACGATTTATTCGCCCCGGGGTAGCTCGTTCCGTTCGATTACTATTCTCCGCAGGATTTAGGTTAATAAATTGGTCATGCTATTACCTTAACGCGATGCTCGTTCAAAAGTTGAAGTTTCAGGAACATTATTTGTTCGAAAAGCCCAACGTTCCAGCAAATTATTCGCGGCGAATGGAGGTAAATGTCGACACGCTGATTTATGATTTACGAAGACCAAAAATTATTATCGAAGCAAAAAAAGGAAGATATTTCTTGCATGCCGAATGAACGGTGAAAACCTTAGACTTGGAATAAATTCTCAAAGAATGCTTCGTATGAAATTGTGTCGAGTGACGGACACCGGTGACCGTCACTTCGAAACCTCTTACGACGATTACCATAAATAAACTCTAATACTTAAATTGGCGTTATTAGGTGTACTGTTAATTAATAAATGTATTATTGATGCATAGAATATTTAGAACGACCACCTTCGTAACACGAGTGTCATGGTGGGCACCGGTGACCGTCAGAGAAAACCCAATTTAACGCACTGAACAAGACTATTTCGTACTAAATCATGCCGCTATTTATAATATCGTTACCCAGGAATATTTATTCGAATTAATACGACGACGATTTCTCGTTTTAAGGGCTCCTCTCGCGGAATAAAAACAAAGACGAATCGAAGAGGTTCACTTGGAATAAATTCTCAAAGAATGCTTCGTATGAAATTGTGTTGGGCGACAGACACCGGTGACCGTCACTTCGATACCTCTTACGACGATTACCATAAATAAACTCTAATACTTAAATTGGCGTTATTAGGTGTACTGTTAATTAATAAATGTATTATCGATGCATAGAATATTTAGAACGACCACCTTCGTAACATGAGTGTCATGGTGGGCACCGATGACCGTCAGAGAAAACCCAATTTAACGCACTGTACAAAACTATTTCGTACTAAATCATGCCGCTATTTATAATATCGTTACCCAGGAATATTTATTCGAATTAATACGACGACGATTTCTCGTTTTAAGGGCTCCTCTCGCGGAATAAAAACAAAGACGAATCGAAGAGGTTCGTTTTGGTGCTGATCGATATCGCCGCATTGGCCGCCCAAGGGACAAGTTTCGTCCTTTGGCCATTACTGGACAGCTCCCGACCATCGTTGTGGCTAATACCACCGGCTCTGTTTCTGGTTTCCTGCGGCTGGTGGGAAAATTACGTTTCCATGCAAAGTCCGTTCGGTGAGTAATGTCGAGGTTTCACTGGACAATGTACTTTTTTTTAATTACATATGGTTTATCTTCAACGAGTAAACGTGAAAACTAATTAACTGTACGAGGCGTGTTACATTACACTACAGATCGATCTATAATCAATTGGTGATCCAGTAGATGGCAGTCGATTACCTGCTCTGTTTTATCGACAAAAGTGGAAATATTCCCTCGGTAATGTAACTTACGGAAAAGTTACCCGGAACTATTATCCGGGGGATCGCTTGGGCGACTTAAAATTTGAATAACTTCCGAAATAACCGGGGACGAAAGTAATTAGAGCGTCCGTTCCCGTTCCAATTAGTTCGGGTTCTTAAAATCGAATTTAAAACTCAGGCAGTCGGGTGGAAGCATTATTACTTAGAAATGGTCGCCTCTATCCTGTTAAAGAGACATATCATTTTTGTGGTACTTCGTTTTTGTTTAAAGAAAATGGCGTGTAATGAGGATTATTTGCGGTGTTTTTTTTGCCAGGATTCGTCCGGTCTCTGGGAAGGGTGAAGAAGGAATTGAGAGTCACGCGATATTTCACCTATATATTCATGTCAGCGTGGAAAATTGTGGCATTCTTCATCAGCACTCTGCTGATACTTCACGTCAAAGGGGAAACCGTGGGACATTTATTCACGATGCTGAAAAGCGCTTTTGGGAATCATCAGATCATGGTGTCGGTGGTACAGCAGGACTCCAACAACATGATAACCGACATCGCAGATATATTCGAAACCGGCGATAAAATACCCGCAGATGTGGCCACGCCTATATACGTACTTCTGTTGCAAATATTCGGCGCCTACTTCGCCTACATTTTTGGTAAATACCATCAATAATAACACAGACTCTAAATAAACAAAAATTTTAGAATTTCAAGTTCGACGAATTATTTTTAAACTTTGAAACTAGTGAAACGACATTTTGAACTCCCCTTGGGTAACCTCGTATTTCAATTTCACCAAAAAGTGATGGACTCGGAGTAGAATGACCCAATTGTGTTTTATCGTCGAACGTCAGAACGTTGCTACGCGATTGCTTGGGGTGAATACCAATAACTTTACCATAATATAATATTGTTTCGTCGTGAAAGACACTTGTTTTGGTTCCAAGTCGATAAGAAACGTTTCGAGTATTGTGAAAGATCGGTGAATCACGGGACGGATAATTAACCGATGTAGCACGAGTGCAAAGAATAAAATACACTTTATTATAAGTTATGAATTAACGAAAAGTATAACCACGTGCTGGTGGCAGATCGATCTAAGCAAAACTCTCGATGAGGATTTTATATCGATAATTTCCGAAGTATTTACCACAAATCGTTAAAAAAATCACTAAAATCTAGAAAAATTCTAATAATTATCTCGAAGAGTGTATTGTAAATATTGAGAAACCGTAGTACAAGAAAAATGATGTTCTTTCCAGGTAAATTCGCCTGCAAAATTCTGATACAGGGTTTCAGCTACGCCTTCCCTGTAAATCTGACGATCCCCGTATCGATCTCTCTGTTGATCGCCGCCTGCGGTTTGAGAAACGGCGATCCATGCATTTTCCACGGCACTATACCGGACTATCTGTTCTACGAGTCGCCGCCATTGTACTTTCTCAGCGATTTTGTGTCCAAACAATACGCCTGGGTGTGGTTGCTCTGGCTATTGTCTCAAACCTGGATCACTCTGCATGTCTGGACACCGAAATGCGAGCGTCTCGCAGCCACGGAGAAGCTTTTTGTCGTTCCTATGTACGACTCTCTGCTGATCGATCAGTCGATGAGTCTCAACCGGAAACGAGACGATCAACCGGAGGTCAAAGTCGAGGTAAAACGACCCTTCACAAATCAACCCCTTCCCGTACTTTAACGAGTCTATTTTAAAAAAAATTAATCCTGTAAAAATTTCATAGATCCTGAATTTGATCAGGTGGTTTATTTATTATTTTTTTATATCTTGCAAATTTGCAATTTTCTAGTTTGGACTGTTCTAGAATTCTATTAAAACTCGATTTTAAATCGAGTCGATCGATGCAAATTTTCAATTTAAAGAATTCAATTTGTTTCTCGAGTTTAAATTCCGTAAAGACGCTTCCACAGATACTGGACAAGGTTTTGTAAAATTAAAAACAACCCTCCCAGAGAACGAATCGTAATTATCAGGGACACGGACGGTCGCCATATTGATGAAAATGGCGGTTAAAGAAACGAACTCGAATAACGTTTGCGGGTGTTTGCACGCAGGATCTGGCAGAGATAGAGAAAGAAAAAGGAGACGGGGATTACGAGACTATATACGAGCATACCGACGGCACAACTACACCCCCGTCGGTAGTAAAAAGCAGCGATCACGTAACCAGAATCTATGCGTGCGCCACCATGTGGCACGAGAACAAGGAGGAAATGATGGAATTTTTAAAAAGTATCCTACGCCTCGACGAGGATCAATGCGCCAGACGAGTCGCTCAAAAGTATCTGAAAGTCGTCGATCCGGACTACTACGAGTTCGAAAGTAAGAACTACAAAAAAATTATTTTCTCTTCTTCTTTCCGGCAATAATAAGAAGAAATAAACTTGTTCACTTAGCTCACATTTTCTTCGACGACGCGTTCGAGTTAGCGGACCACGACGAGAATGAATCGCAAGTGAACAGGTTCGTTAAATTGCTGGTGGGCACGTTGGACGAGGCTGCGTCGGACGTTCATCAAACTAGGATGCACGTGAGGGCCCCCAAGAAGTATCCAACCCCTTATGGTGGTAGACTGGTGTGGACTCTGCCCGGGAAAACGAAGATGATCGCTCATCTGAAGGACAAGAGCAAGATCCGTCACAGGAAACGTTGGAGTCAGGTACAGGAAACATTCGAAATCAACAAATTCATATAGTCCTCCGCTGACATTTACCTATCTCGCTCCCTTGCTCTCAGGCAGTCCACATGTGTGTGTAACTGACGAATAGAGAGCTAGAAATCAATGTGTGCGTGGGAATACGTGTATCTCCTTCACTTCTCCCGCATTTCTTCCACGAAGCTTCAAGTCAGCGGAGGACTGTAGGTACTATCCAAAGATGACTAGTTGGTTAGGCACCCATAAACATAAAGGGCAAAGAGAAAAGGTCTATGCGCCACCTTATTTCCACCATAGAGGCCCGCTCTGACGCTACATAGTAGTAGGGTCTCCATAACTACGAGAGATACACTTTTGTTCTATTCATGGCTAGTATTTTGAGCTTACGGTTACGCCAATGCCTCTCAGTCTTGTCCTATCCTACTCTGTTCCTACTCAAATTGTGGTTGTGAGCGACTCAGCCAATAACGACAATGCTTCTGAGAGCAGGCGTCGCTATCACGCTATGGCCAATCGGCGTGCCTAGCCATCAAGTCATCACCGTACAGTACATGACCATTGCGAAATTCAAACGAGATTAAACAGTACACGTTTGAGAAAATGTAATTGAAGGGGTTTTCATTTTTCTTTGTTCGTAGGTTATGTACATGTACTACTTGCTGGGGCACAGATTGATGGAGCTGCCGATTAGCGTGGACCGGAAAGAGATGATCGCGGAAAACACTTATTTGCTCACCCTGGACGGCGACATCGATTTCCAACCGGCCGCCGTGAAATTGCTGGTGGATTTGATGAAGAAGAACAAGAACCTGGGCGCTGCTTGCGGTCGCATCCATCCTGTCGGCTCCGGTGAGCCCCACAGGCGAAAGAAACGAACAGGTTACGTTCGATTCGAGGACTCTAACGTCCTTTTTTGCTATTTCTGTCGCGCGCAGGTCCCATGGTTTGGTATCAGATGTTCGAGTACGCGATCGGTCATTGGCTGCAGAAGGCCACGGAGCACATGATCGGTTGCGTGCTTTGCAGCCCCGGTTGCTTCTCGCTATTCAGAGGAAAGGCTCTGATGGACGACAACGTGATGAAAAAATACACTACGAGATCGGACGAGGCCAAACATTACGTTCAGTACGATCAGGGGGAGGACCGATGGCTTTGCACGCTGCTTTTGCAACGGGGCTACAGGGTACGTATATTGGAGATTGATTCAAAGATGACGGAACGATATACGAGATTGCACTAATTTCCTCTTGTAACTTTTATAATATTTTTCACTCCGACAACCAAAAAATGAGCAGAAAGCTGTTCCCCATATTTTGGAACATTTTTTATTAAACGTTACAGGTCGAGTATTCGGCGGCCAGCGACGCTTACACACACGCGCCCGAGGGTTTCAACGAGTTTTACAATCAACGTCGTCGATGGGTACCTTCAACCATAGCGAACATCATGGATCTTCTGATGGACGCGAAACGAACGATCAAAATCAACGACAATATCTCTCTTCCTTACATCTCCTACCAGATCTTGCTCATGGGTCAGTTTAGCGAATCAAATCTCAAAATTTTCGACAAAATTAGACTAAAATCAGATAATTCCAACCATCCTGGCAAGAGATCCTATGAAGCTTGAATAAGTTTACAAATTCAAACAAACCCTGTTGGAGGCCTCAGCTAGCAAAAGCTAGTCCAAGACACCGAATCTGAAACTTTGATTACCAAATAACACTCATAAAAAAATTTATTTTTGATCGAATAAATAGTTCCTCGACTTTCTTTTTCAGGCGGTACCATCCTGGGACCAGGTACGATATTTCTCATGTTGGTGGGTGCGTTCGTGGCAGCTTTCAAGATCGACAACTGGACCAGCTTCTACTACAATATTATACCCATTCTGCTTTTTATGATCATTTGTTTCACGTGTAAGGCGAACATACAGGTAAGTCGACCAGCTCCGTGAACGTCGATCGAGAATCGTCCGCTTCCAGTGAATACAACGCCCGTTGCCTTTCAGCTTCTGTGCGCGCAAATATTGTCGACGGGATACGCGATGATAATGATGGCCGTGATCGTAGGTACGGCCCTCCAGCTCGGAGAGGACGGTATAGGATCCCCATCCGCGATATTCTTGATATCCTTGTCCAGCTCCTTCTTCATAGCAGCCTGTTTGCACCCCCAAGAATTTTGGTGCATCGTGCCAGGAATTATTTACCTCCTATCGATACCCTCCATGTACCTTCTTCTGATCCTTTACTCCATTATAAATCTGAACGTCGTCTCCTGGGGCACCCGCGAAGTCCAAGTGAAAAAGACCAAAAAGGTTCGTTTCTGCCAAACTTGGTCACCATTCTTTTTTTTTTGAGGGGGGCACTTTCGCTTCGCACAACGTTTGTCAATAACCATTTCTCGAGCCAATCTCGGGCTCCTTTCCACTATTAATAATTTAAAAGGTTGCAAGGTTCGTCGTTCTACCATTAAAACCGGGTCCAGGAATTCGGGATTCTTCAAGATGGAAAGTGCTTTTTTGTTGCTTCCTTGTTTGCCAATACATGTTACGCTTTCCGTGTTTGAACGGGTGTGCAAATGGTACATCGATGATATTTACTTGATGATTCAAGTTTGATCAAGTTTGATCGAATTTGAACTAGCATAAGACGAAGAAATACGCATTCGATCCTAGATTTTTCAATTAATTTTATCGCAGAGAGCATTAATACTGCTCGTCAAGCCACTTATTACAGTTTCGATTCGCGGACAAAGCAGTCGTCAGATTTTATCTCGCGAATTACAAAGTTTGTTTGTCACGAAAGCCATACGATGCTAGGGGAATTCTCCCCGTCAAAGACTTTCCAAAATCTCAGTTCCTCAACCAGTTACCGTAACTTTATCGCGAAGATGATCTTGTATCGTTGGTTAGATCGTTCCTCTACATTCAACGTCCTTCTATCCGAACAAAATTAATCAGAAAATATCATAAATTTGAAATATTTAGTACCGAACGAAAAAAAGTGTAAGTTTTGTTCCTTGAAATTACTAATCCCTCGATGTATCATTTTCTGCACGATTCGAAAAACTAATTATACAGATTAACCCTAAACGCATTCGATTAATATTAACTACGGTGTAATAGGTGTACATAGCGGCAGTGATCAGCGCCATTTACGGCATGATAATGATAGCTGTCTTCGTTGGGATCGCGATAAGTATTACAGAGGACGGTGTTTTTTCGCCAAGCGCGTTGTTTCTACTGTTGATGACAAGTCAGGTGCTGATAACCGCGTTATTCCATCCGGAGGAAGTGTATTGCCTACTGTACAGCGTTATCTATTTCATAACTGTACCTTCGATGTACGTGTTGCTTATTATTTACGCGATCTGTAACCTGAACGATATTACGTGGGGCACGAGGGAAGTACTGGCGAGGAAAACAGCAGCGGTAATTACTCACCTGCGTTATTAACAGACTAATTGATCTTTTACGAGCACTACCCTTTCACGCTATTCTAAAGAAACAACAACATCCGTTAATAATTCCACGCTTTGAAACGACAAAACTTGAACATAATCATCGTACCTTATTTCAAAATTAATCTTCGGTGTTGCTCGAAATATACTTCGAAACAACACCATTATTCAATAATTATTTCATCGAATTTTATTAACGAACAGTTGTTTCATAATACGGAATTAATGACTTTGTAATATATTTGATATTTCGAGGCAACGATTCCAGTAATTACATTAACCCATTAAGCTTTCTTAATAACACGGTTGCGCTTGGTTTTAGAAGCTCGGATCGGTAACAGTTTATTTGATCTGACGTTATCGTCGTTGAACCCGTAGGAACTTGAACAGGAGAAACGGGAAGCCGAGGAGGCGAAGAAAAAAGCGAAACAAAAGTCTCTGCTAGGTTTCCTTCAAAATGGCGTTGGCTCGAACGACGACGAGGAAGGATCTATCGAAATATCCCTGGCGGGATTGTTCAAATGCATGTTCTGCACCCACGGTCAAGCTTCTAACGAGAAACAACAGCTGGTCGCCATCGCTGAGTCCTTGGATCAGCTTGGTAAACGTTTGGAAACCATGGAAAGGTTCGTCCATCTACGATTAAACGCAACTTCCTTAAAAAATCCACAAGTAAAATGGTCTAAAAATTGATCGAACGCGCGGTCTCACAAATTAAACGTGTTTTCGGTTCGAATATAACGATTGTTCAGGGTTTTGGATCCGCATGGACACGCGAGCGCGAGTCGTCGACGAGCGTCCTCGGTCGGTTCACGAAGCGCCGATCATCTGCATGCCATCGGCGAGGAGGGCCAAGAATGCCACAGCGACACGGAGACAGTGACAAGTCAACACACAGAAGCCAATCGCGAGGGCAGCAACTTCCTCAGCCGCCCCTATTGGCTGAGCGACGACGGTTTGAAAAAGGGCGAGATCGAGGTACTGTCGCTCCAGGAGGAACAATTCTGGAAGGACCTCTTGGAGAAGTATCTCTACCCCATAGACGAGGACAAGGCGGAGAAGGTAAATATCACCAAATCAACAATACAGGAATCCTCGCGCTATTATTAGCCAGAAATTTTTTCATAAATTATAAAAAAAAAAATAAGATGATCGAGTTTTACAATTTCTCTTATGCTCGACAGGGACGGTGCATTTCAATTTTGCGTATTTATTATATATTACATTTAGAAACGGAGATGTCCTTCAATTGCAATGCCATAGTTTTTTTTTCTTTTGTGCCAGTGGAGAGGTCAAATAGGGTCAGATATACTTTGAGTATTTTATATTTTGTGTTTGGATAGGAAATTTTTTATTCAATACTTCGGATTTTCTGTAAACTCTAGAAGAATATCTATTTATTTTAAATAAAAAATAGTTTTCGTTAAATATGCAAAATTGAAATGCGCTGACCTATCGACTGTAAAGAACTGTATAATTTTGTATTCTTTTATTTTTTTATACTCGCGATAGTTTTCGAGAAAATCGGTCGATAATAGAGCGAACAGCCTGTGTGACTGTAATTCTTTCGAATTCATTTCTTGCCCCGTGCTTCCTCTCTTTCGAATTAAATATTATCGTTGGATAGATTGAAAAAATTTGAAATGCTATACAAGTATCGTTTTTCGAAAAATTACAATTAAAATTTCGTATCAATAAATTCTGTAGAATTTACCAAGAAATCGTACGATTTCTCAGTGTTTGATATTTATTCATACAAGCACTCGAGGCAAAGAATTTATCAACGATACAATTACAGTAAACACTAACCACAAACCTCTTCTGAACCATATTTTTGATCACCGTATACGATCGATTTATAATTTCTTGTCGATCGTAGAAAAATAAAGTTTTAGCCAACCTAAGAATATACCACATATTCCTATCAAGTTACTTTTTTTAAATTGAAATCAAGCTTTTAATAATTGCAAATAGTAGTTTCAACCCTAATTCCGCCAGTAACTTCGTATCGAGTCTTGAATTTTGGAAAATTGAATATGCGGAATTAGTAACGAAAGAAAAGTCTTGTAGATGTCGTTGTGGAAATAGAGGATTGATCAGAAATGAAAAGAAGGAAATTTACAGCGTAATAGTCAAATAAAAGAATAATCGATCCATGCTGCTTGCATCAGGCACGAATCGCCAAAGATCTAAAGGACCTACGAGACCAGAGTGTGTTCGCGTTTTTTATGCTGAATGCCCTCTTCGTCCTGATCGTCTTTTTGCTGCAATTAAACAAAGACTTGTTGCACGTGAAGTGGCCTTTCGGTATCAAGTCGAACATCACCTATAACGAAATATTGCAGGAGGTAAAGACCGCTCCGTCCATGTCGAGTTATCCAGCTCCTTACGCTTCATCCCCCCCCAAAAGCAACGTCATTCGATCGACTATTCCTCCGCTGGCGTTCAACAGACCTGGGCGAAATTTCAATTTGTTAATATTTCCAACACAATGTATTTCAATGTATTTCGATTGATCTTCTTCGTTTGGAGAAGATAACATTCGTATCTCGATAAAAAAATATTAATATTACCAATATAAATTCATTCTCCGCGTGATAGGATTACGTCACGTCGAAATAGATTATTTTCCAAACGACTCTGAAAATTAACATTAAAATAATGTATTTCGAAGATTGCCCCCGACGCCCAGGTCCTGGCGGAACGCTGAAATTTTCGTGAATCGAACGAACAGCGCTGAGAGTTTTCGAACAGTTTCGTGCCCCATTGGGCGACGAAACTGTTTAAATAATTCAGGCTCTGTGCGAGTTCCACGACGCGCGTCTCGTTAAAAGTTTTGAAGTCGAACGCGCTCCAAGACTGTGACTTAGGTGCGGATCCGTCGAGGAGTGGACAACGATTGGACGGAGCGTATTTTTTTTTATATATTTTCTAACGTATGTGTCTTTTTTTTTGTCTCTTCCTTGTTCCACGACAGGCTCGAATTGCCGGCGACTTGATCGAGCTGCGAAACAAGAGCGTCTTTGCGTTTTTTATGTTCAATGCGTTGTTCGTACTGATCGTATTCTTGCTACAGCTGAACAAAGATCAGCTTCACGTTGTCTGGCCTCTGGGCGTCAAGACGAATATCACCTTCGTTGAAGAGACCTCGGAGGTACCTGGTATTTTCAACAAAAAAAAAAAGACTCGAGAAACAAAGATAATGTCTCGCTGACACCCTCGGGAGACTAACAGCCCCGTGTGCTCCGGTACTCGCGTTTCCAACACCATTCAGTTTTCATTTATCATACAATTTCGAAAGTTGAGGCACAAACGAGGTGTACACATAGACCTTACACGTTTAAAAAACCATAACTCCTGAACGGATTGGAGAATTTGAATGTTTCAAAATGCAAACGACGACTATTTTGGCGAAGAATATTTAGAAACTCTAAGAATGTTCGAACAGTTGTTCTTTAACTTCGTGAAGTGAGAAAACCCCCGGTAAAAGTAGTCAAATTTTCAAACGACCATAACTCCTATAATAGTGAATTTATTTCATTGAAATTTAGTCCTGTAGTAGAGCTCATGGATACCTACAAAAAAGTACTAGACAACTTTTTCGTACCCCGTCAAACAAATTTATTAAAAATCGAAAACTAGTTTCTAAGAAAAATCGACATGGGGTAGTTTTTCAGTGAAAAAAAAAATTTCAAATCCTTCTGAAAAAATTATTTTCAATTGCAGGGGTTGATTACAATCATTTTTGGTCAATAGACATATCCTCGAAATCTCAACCATTTTCGAGGAAAAAATTCATTACCGAAAATATAATTTCAGGCCAGAAATGTCACTCTAAAATTTCGCGCGTATCTTTAAAACGTCATAACTGCTGAACGGATTGGGAGATTTTAATGTTTCAAACGGCAAATAATGCGTATTTTAGTGAAGCATATACACAAATTCTAACAGTATTGAAAAAGTTATTCCTTGACCTCGTAAAGTGAGAAAAATTGCATGAAAATGGCCCAATTTTCAAATAACCATAACTCTTACAGTAGTGGATATATTTCAATGAAACTTTTTTCTGAAGTAGAGCTCATGGGTACCTACAAAAAAGTACTAAACAACTTTTTCGGACCCTGTCAAACAAATTTATCAAAAATCGAAAACGAGTTTCTAAGAAAAATCGAGTGCCTAAATTTTTCGGTGAAAAAAAAATTTTCAAAACGTTCTAAAAAATTTATTTTTAGTTGCTGGGATCGATTACAATCATTTTTGGTGAATAGACACACCCCCGAAATCCTACGCTGTTTCGAGAAAAAAAATATAATGTGTGGCCAGATGCGTAAATATAAAAAATCATAACTCCTGAAGAATATTTAGAAATTCTAAGAATATCCGAAAAGTTGTTCCTTAACCCCATGAAGTGAAGTAAGCCCCATAAATACATTGAATGTAAGTTTGCTAAAAATTACAGCGAGTATCGGAGCACATTGGAAAATGGTACCCGGTGATAATGTTGCACTTACTGGGACACGTCTATGTTTTGTTAATAATGTGGATCGTCGGCACGTGGCAAATTACCATTAACATGTTTGCACAGGTCCCCTAGGAAAGAATGGACGGTGGGGCGGAACGAAGCATCTGGCTAGAAACTGTTTCACCAAGTCACAAATAACATTGGCGCCTTCTTTAATTGTGGATTCTTGATTTCTCCCGATTCCTCGTATCTTTGTTTTTAGAATGAAACGATACTCGCACCATTGGACCTGTACTTTTACTAACATTAACAGTCGGAAGCCAAGAGAACGAGCTTTGCAAAAGAAAACCTGTAAATTCAACTTGGAAAAAAAAAAAAATAATTTAAGGCCTCAAAATTACGTATTATTCGAAATTTCAAGAATTAAAAACGCAGAAGAGTATATAATCACTTAACTCAAATATGGGTGGCAATTCTTTTTGGTCAATTTTTATATATCAATTCTTTCTGAGAAAAAAACAGATTTTTAATTAAATTGACCTTGAAGTGAATTGTAACTATTGTATTTCTTTGTCGAAACTGAACATGTTTTCTATTCTTTTTCCAAATACTCAGATATAAAGTTTTCGAATGCACATGTACAGTGAATCCTTCCGGAAGGATATCAACCATAAGCGGTTCCTTCTTGCTGGTTGGATCGTTGTTCTCTCGGTTTCCATATCCCGTAGCTCTCCCGTGGCCCCCAGGGGTTTCGAAAAAATTTGGGTTAAAAGTTTTAGTTGATATTTTTAAATTCGTGGCAGCACGTGCACAGTTTACGGGGCCACGAAAGAGTCGAGATCAGAGGGGATCCTGGAAACATGTCCCGTCTTCCGCTCACCTGCCTGAATACGAACGAGGGAGAATTGTCATGCAGGTTCTCGTTTTACGTTTTATATGTGTCTAATTCTGATGATGCACTGCTAGGTATGACAGCAGAGGAGCACCACTAACAAGTTACTCTCAGTGTAACTAAACGGTGGCTTGTACCAATATACATACGTATTTAAAATATTATTGTTAATGCTCTGCTCGTGCAAAACAATAGTTTACGAATGAAAACACAAAAAGAATGAAAAAAAAAATCTTATTTGCAAAATTACGTAAAATCGTATCTTTTAAAACACGAATCTTTGTAAATAATTGATAAAATACTCGCGAAAGCTATTGTTAAGCACGTCCAGATATTGTTATTTCATTGGGTATCATCCAGTGCAGGGTATTTGCCTAAGAAAATTGGAACCTAAAGCTTCTGGAGAAAAACTATTTAACATTCTGTACAAACGTCCTTTGCATGTTGACGTAATGAAATAACAATGAACTATATATATATATATATGTATTTCGATCAATAACCATTTTGTGTGTTGCTCTAATTGTTTTGTGTGTTAATTTTTAAGTTTTATATGCTTCTGGACTCGTTTGCTAACAACCTATTATCCGTACCCATAGGTACACATCACGAAAGAGTATTTACAACTAGAACCGATCGGTCTGGTCTTTGTGTTCTTCTTCGCGCTGATATTGGTCATCCAATTCACCGCCATGTTGTTCCATCGATTCGGAACGTTCGCCCATATTCTGGCCAGCACCAGTTTGGATTGGTACTGCTGCAAGAAGGTACGCGTTCCCGGCCAGAAATCTAGCATAATTCATTTCTAACCGCTTTTTAAATAATTAGAAAATTGTTTCAACCTCCCTCAGAATCTACTTGTTGCTTTCAAACCACCTTATAGAGTAGAAGACGGATTTTAATTTGTAATTTAAAGTCGAAATTAAATGTTGACAAAATATTTGAGATTCGTCGATGATTTTGACAAACGTAAACGTTATATTAATCTTGTTTACTGCAAAGAACGTTAGAAAAATTATTTTAGAGTCTTATACTTTCCCGTTTGTTAAATTAGACCAAGGATCTGTCGGAGGAGGCATTGCTTTCGAAACACGTCGTGGAAATAGTAAGGGACTTGCAAAGATTAGACGGAATGGAGGGCGATTACGAGGAAGGTAGCGGCAGCGGACCTGGCAGGAGAAAAACCATACGAAACCTCGAGAAAAGCCGAAGGAAAACGCAGGCAATCAATACGCTCGATGTCGCTTTCAGACAGCGATTTTTCAGCATGTCAGACGGCAACGGTACGTGAAAAGTATTTTATCGCAAAAGCTGCTCGAAACTGAAGAAAGAATCTTCTAAAGATAATTGTCGATCCCATCTTTGATAACACTTTGTTACACGAGTCAAAAAATGGCGCGAAATTCTCTAACCAAAAATATCGAATATTTTATAACGATCGTGACGATTAGAACTCGACTTCGACTTAAAACTATCAAAGCATGCGTCGATAACGAATCGAATTTAATTTGAATTCAACAAGGAGTGTATAAATCTAATTTTTTACGCAGGTTTGCCAAGAAACATGTCGACGAGGCGTTCAGCGAAGGCGTTCAAGGCGTTCGAGGGCCGCAGGAACAGCATAATGGCGATGCGACGGAAGTCGCAGATGCAAACACTGGGGGCGAATAATATTTTCGGCGTGGCGGGGAATCCCCTGGGTATCCAGGGCCGTCCGTCGAGGAGTAGTCAGATTTCCGTGAAGGACGTATTCGAGGGACACGGCGGCCACGCGAATTCCGCGTACGAACCGGACGAGAACACTGGGAGCAGCCTGAGACTTCAAAATTTAGGTCAAAACACGTGGAGGGAGGCCAACACTAACATCTGATCCAATCCTCCTCGCGAACGCGTGAATTCTGGTAAGTCTCGTCCGTTTTCTCTCTACAGCGTTCCCTCGATAAGAGTCGCCTCGCGGACCCGAGCCAGCGACTATTATCGAGGGAGGCCTGTTATCTTTGATAGTATTACAAATAAAGACAAAAAACACTTAAAATGAACGAAACAGAATGAAACTAAAGTTCTGAAATCGTTCAGAAGTCAAAAATTGCACGATTCTCGTATGGTAGTTCAACTTTAAAATAGTGAAGGATACATAGAACATTTTTGAATAGAAAATTCTATGTGTAGAATTCTTAATTTTCGATTTAAACATTGTTTTTATATTATTCGAATATTACTTTTGTTAAAAGTAGCCTCCGTCGAGAGAATACAGCTGCACGTGATTCTATATTTTCTACATGACATCATTCAGTTTTTATGTGAAACACGAGTACAATCTGATTCTGCTACATTGGAAAATATCTCTCTCATCTTTCTATTATTCTGTCAGCTTTATCAAATATTTCTCCTGTTCGCTAAAGCTGGAATATCAGTCGTTTAATAGAAAATAATAAATATTGCTAGATAAATCATAGAAATAACTCTGGACCAATTTTTCGTTTGGGAAAAATTCAAATCTGGTCTAGGTTTAATTTATTTGATTCTAATTCTATCAATTTTAAATTATATACTAAAGAGTAACTGTAGGTATGGGTTAAAATTGCTATATAAATTTATTTAAATTTGTCAAAGATATCAAAGAGATATAAGTAAAAAGAATCGTTCGATAGACAAATCGTTTGTAATAATAATTTCGTCTCTGGTGTATAAATTTAACAAAAATTCAGGGAAGTTAAGAAGAGTTAATATTGCAGTCGAAGAACAAAGATGGCCGCCTTCTTCGCGCGCTGGGAAACGGAAGAGACGCGGCTAATGGATAAAACAATCACCAGTTACACGAAGAATCGTCGGATTTAATCTAAATTTCATGCATATCCGCGCATCACTGTACCAGTTATTCGTTAATCCGATTATGCATGACGTGAATGTGGATAGTAAAGTACGAAAAAGACTGCCTTTGAGTAGAATAATTTATTACGGAATGAGTGGAACAGGACCGCCTTTAAACTCTTTTTCTTTTCCTTTTTTTTTAAGCACCTTTTCCTAAACGATGATAACAACGGTAACAGTAACATTACAAATTGTAATGATAAGAATAACGAACACAGAAATTGGTATACGACCGATTACGCCTACGTATTCTTAAACTCTGAGAGTTTAAATTTTAAATTTTCTTGAATTTAAGGGGGTATTCTACCGTACTATTTATTTTATCAACGTCCAAACTCCTCTTTTATATTTTTTTTAGTCCACGAAAATAATAGAAAAATTTTACATACATTTTTCCCCAGAACTATATATACAATGGTTTACACTGGTTTTTATGATATCTCAATCAATGGAATGTCTTGTTTCTTTCGTATTTTATTTACTCCGCGAAAGTGATAAGAAACATTCAAAAATTGATAGTTAAACTTTCAAGTGTAACTATAGACTCATTATTTTTATTTTAGAATCTAACCTAAACCTAACCTTAATTAAGAATGGCTGAAACCATAAGAAACCACGAATTTGTATAGTTCCACGCCCAAGAAAGTGATCAAACTAGGCGTTTTACGGTAGGATACTCCCTTAACGATATCACTCGTTTATTTTTTACTCGCGATTAGATATTTAAGACGAACGAACTGACCGGTGAATAGTAATATCTCGTAGAACCAACTACCGTTCGATAGTCGACGGTCTAAGGATAGGATAATTTCTCTAGACGATAACTAAACGTAATATCATTGTTAACTCGTATCGCACATCATCATTGTGCGGACAGTTATCGCAGCGACGACGCTTACATTTGTTTTTGCTCCCCCTAAACGTGATACCGCCGTTATTATATTTAATCGATAAACGTCTTTTGTACATAACGCGTTAAGTACGTGTAAATCGAGTTGTAGAAAAATCGTGTCGATCGCCGAACGAAATAAAGTCGTAACGATCAGCACTCAAACCTGAGTTCCGTTCATTTGCTTCCTTCTAACTGTGAGAGCAGTGATGCCAGATTTAGCACCGAGTGTCCTACTCACTATGCCAGATCACGCGTACGTGAGCTCGTGGAGTTTCGGAAAGTCGACAAAGGCAAACTGACGCATGCTCTCTTTCTCGATTCTCCGAAGCTGCCCGAAGTAACTTCGGACCGGTCTCGTGGGACTCGAGAGAGGCAGGCTCACATTTGCCTTCGCGCTCTTGAACAACTGACATTCGACCTCACGTCAACGGCATACGATTCCAAGTCTCGACTGCCCAGGTATTTTTTACTTTACTATACCCCTTTTTACCTGAAGTATAAGGTAAAGTACGATGTATAAGGTACGACTACATGTACATTTGAATTTTCCTACAGTCCTCCGCCGGCCTCTGCTGACCGCTGCTGACCATTCCTCATACTTCTGACAACGTATAGCGATTACTATGTGTTACTGCTTGCTCCTGCTGGCCTCTACATGCCTCTACTTGCCTCTGCTGACCTCCGCTGGCCTCCGCTGGCCTCTGCTGACCACTGCTGACCACCACCAATGCTTCCGACAACGTGTGACGATTACTACATGTTACTGCTTGCCCCTTCTGGCTTCTGCTGGCCCCTGCTGGCCCCTGCTGACCCCTGCTGACCCCTGCTGACCACTGCTGGCCTTTGTTAACAACTTCTGACATGATATATATGTATTAAAACATTGTATAATGTAAATCTATGGCAATAAATGATATAATTACAAAGAATCCTATGTGTTCTCATCATTTTTTACCTTTCTTTTCCTCTCCAAATCATTACCCTAGTTATAAAACTCCCTGAAACTCCTTGGTTTCCCTCAACCCACTAGGAAGTCCTAAAACTCAGAACTTTGCTAAAAATTCAGGGTTTCCAAGAATTTTCGGCGTTTCCAAGAAATTCCAGGACTTCCCAGTTGTTTCAGGACTTTCCAGCTGTTTCAGGACTTTCCAGCTGGTTCAGGACTTCCAAAGGGCCCCACAATTCCCAGGGGGTTCAGGACTTTCCAGTTGTCTCAGGGTTTCCCAGCTGTTTCAGGGCTTTCCAGCTGTTTCAGGACTTTCCAGCTGGTTCGGAGTGACGGTTACAGAAAAAAAATTTTAAAGTTAATTTTTGATTTTGGCAGCAAGTACGAGAGCTGGACACTTTGGGAATCCAATTTTAACCGGAAAAACGGTCTCTTAAAACTAAGGCAATGATTTGGAGAGGAAAAGAAAGGTAAAAATGATGAGAACACACAGAATTCTGTTAAATTATATCATTTATTGCCATAGATTTACATTATACAAGGCTTGAATACTTATACATCATGTCAGAAGTTGATAACAAAGGTCAGCAGTGGTCAGCAGGGGTCGGCAGGGGCCAGCAGAGGCCAGCAGAGGGATGCAGAGGCATGCAGAGACCAGCAGGGGCAAGCAGTAACAAGTAGTAATCGTTATACGTTGTCAGAAATACCAGGAAAGGTCAGCAGCGGTCAGCAGAAGTTGGCAGAAGTCAGTAGTGATCGTTATACGTTGTCAGAAATATAAGCGGTGGTCAGCAGAGGCCAGCAGACGACTGTAGGAAAATTCAAAAGTACATTTAGTCGTACCTTATACTTCAGGTAAAAAGGGGTATAACTAGATAAAACAATTTTATGACATTACCTGCTAACTCAAGTTAGCCACCAGTAAAGGCATGTAGAGATCAGCAATGCTCTGGCACCTCTGACTGAGAGCGTAACGTTGTTCGAAAATTAATTAGCACCTTGTCCACCAGGACGCTCAATGGCAGCACCTCTCGGGCACGTTTCACGCATACATAGAACAGCTGACCGTCGTTCACACAAAGATGCGCCCCGTACGGAAATTGGGGATCTGCCCACAAGTGTCATGCGCGCGCATCGATCAAGGGCCCGCCAATCGATGACTTACGGTGGCTAAAATCGCGGTCATTAGCCTAGTCGTGGTCAAACCACCATTGTATATGGTTTCGTTGCAGTGTTCAGTGTTTATTCATATCGCGTTTTAACGTTCTTTCTCGACCGTGCACCTCTCGTTTTATGTAATTACTTCACAAATTATTCAAGGCTCACGCTCGTATATCCGGGTATTATGTGTTTAATTTTCAATGCACAATAACGCACATTAACGGCGTCTCATTCTCACTCTCTGCTGGAAATGGCGATCAATAATATCGCTATTCCCTTGTAAAAACCACGTGTACGAGTTGTAAAATAAATTACGACCACCTTAACTAAAACATTTGCATCATTTTCATTTTTATTTAGGCGAACCTTCCGCCTAATCGACACGCTCAGTATGTGCTGTCCATTAATTATACGTTTTCGTGACTCTCGAACAGTATTTGTATCTCAAACACGCATAATTATACATATAAGCGAGCGTTGGCTGTTCAAGGAAAGAACAGATCGCGCGTTAACGATTTGTGTATCGCTGTTGTTTGCGTTGCGATTTCGCTGCTTGATTGCTTTTTGCAATTACGAGGTGTCCGGCAGGAAACGGGCCATCCAACTTATCTCCAGTAATTCTGACGGTACGAGAAAATGTTTCAAACATAATTTGAATAGTTTCGTGGCACAAGGAGAATTTTATCTCATCAAAAGTTTCGCGGCAGGGAAACTTTTATGGTGTTCAAGTTTGTCGCAGTGCTTCCGTCATGTATATCGCGTAAGCCGCCATCATGTAATCATTAATCGTGCGTCTCAACGTCCATCCTTGGTAAAATCCTTCGGGGGTCAGCGACCATGTCGTCAAAAGGTAAGGATAATTCGCCAGGAACGCGTAATAATTTCCTACGGAATATCTGAAACGCATTTAAGCGAATAGCAATTTCTAACGGGGCGCCGTCTCGATTGCAAATGGCGCCCGTGAATTAAATATGCAAAAAGAAATTACGGTCCATCCATTTAAAAAATTCAAGTTGATTGGATTTTAATTGTTTTGTAAATTTTTCTTAGCCAACTTTTTTGTAAATCGTTTACCAGACATTTGCTCGAACAGATTTTTTTTCGTAAAATAAGGTTAGGTCAAATGAAGCTTAATTTTTGTAGAAATGGGTAGCATTGTATAGAAAAAAATTGTTGAATCTCTTCTCTACTGTACAGTACGCGAATAATAAGTTTACAAAAGGCGCTGTAAAATTGTTAAATGTCGCGATACTTACGCGAAGTGACAACTAATGAATACCCAGACGAAGTTCGTGGATTTAGGTTTTCTCGACGTCCTTCGAGCCAGGATGTTTCTAATTTGTGAAGTATCAATTTCCTGAAACCGAAAACCAGAAAATATTTCAGAAACAGTCCCCTTTTTGATAACTTTATATAAAACCAATTACTTGTGATTCGATCGACGAGTAATTGTAGAAATTGATTACATCGAGGCCACACAAAGCACTGACGATAAAGGCACCGAGAATACAATATTTATGATGGCAGAACAGAGAATAAAGTATGCTGGCTATGCTCAGCGTGCCAAGAAGCTCGTCCGGACCGTTGAATCGTTCGCCATTTTGTTTTTCCTCGATCTGTATCGTCTCCGGGTCCAAACCTGACAGATAAAAGCTTACGATGTGGTCAAGATATGTCACGTGAACGCGTAAAAAATGTTCGACTCACTGTACTGTTTAAAAAATAGTTTATACATCAGCACGATTACGGATCGCGAGCTGATCATCGCCACGCCGCCACAGGCGAAAACAAAATGGGGTAACAGTTTCTGGTACTCGTCGTAAGAGTGCCTTACCAGACTATAAATGCTAGACCCGCTTACTAACAACAAATACGAGCACGATAAAACGGATTCTAAAATCATAACGTCGCTTTTAAGTATTATGTCGTGTTAATGTCAAAGTGTTAACCTACACGATTTTTTTTTTTAAATTTACTGACATCTCGTAGCGTGATATCGCCTGGTAACAATATCGATACTCAACGAACTTGCCTCGTAAGTATCGATATCTCGATATATCGATCGAGTGGAAACGTGATTGAATATTTTTGACAGTTCCATCGACACGATGCGTGGAAATAGGTTTGACAAACACGCGTTAGGAGAATGCGAGACTGTTCACGAATGTCCGTGATATGACGCTATGCAAAATATATTCGTTATTGTGTTTTGTAAGTTAATCGAGATGTACATTGTAATAGCAATGGACGATATCGATGTAACCGTCGACATTATCGATAGCGCCTACAACAATTCTGTGTACCGTAACAGTTTTAATAATAACACGGTGGAAAATATTATTGTAAGTACAAAGATACAGGCGTCGCCGTTGACGGTCTATTTAATAAATAATTACGATCGGGACTCGAGCAAAAAATATAATAAACCGGTGTTTGTAACCAATTTGTTGCTAAAGCTAACGACAAACTTGCGATTTGATTGTTGGTATCACTAAGTAACATTGTGTATTATAGAATGTTAATTTTTATACTACGGGAACAGCGATAAGATTAGAAGAGGATAATTATTTTAAACGAAGAATGATCAGAACGAACTTTCATCGGGCGGAGTACACCGATCTGTCCGCGATCCTCGAGCAATGGCGACGCAACGCGACCATAAAGGACAACAAGAGTTCGGTAAAAGAGAAATTGTACAAAAATAATTTGGAACCAGCTCGTACGGACCGGACGCCATTTTCTACGAAGAGTAACGTCCTCAAAAGGGATCGCGAAGTCAGTTATCCTTATCCTTTCACAGATTACACGCGTACACGTTTTTGTTTCGATTATCCGTTCGAAAATGTTAACAACGAACCGCGGCACCGACTGGTCAGGAACTTAAAGTCGATAACGATTAATTACGAGACCAATTTGAGACACCATCGTAGGAAATCGAAGAGGGCGAGGAGATCGTCGAACTTGTTATTTCGTGGCAAAAAGAGAAGATCGAGGAAACGAGATGTTTCGATGAATAAAACTCGCGTGGCTGGCCGTTACGGGAACGGTACCGTTTTATTGCCAAGATTGATAAAGATATCGCGACGAAATGTAAGTACAATCAAACACCAGTCGCATTCCCCGAATAAAACTTTAGGTCTTCGTGAAATTTTACGAACGAGACCCGTCGATAAGAGAACGACCAAGTCCGTTAAACAAAGAAGGAAACGAAATATTAGGAAAAGAATGGACACGGAAGGGGTCAGCGAAACGTATACCGCGGGGAAAGAAATAACTGCGTACGTGGACACGCTTCACTTACTTTTTACGACCGGCACGCCAGAGATCGAATCACAGTTAACGTATAATACCGGATATCAAAGCGAAATAGACATTTTACAGACGACTCTGAGTTGGTTGGACCAATTAAGTAGCACGTCCGAGCCTCCGAGCGCGTTAACGGTAGAGGAGACAGAAACGACTGGGGTTGTCGAGGAATTTCACGATAAAGAATACGAGGAAGATTATAAGGAATCGTATGACGAGTATGGAGAAAAAACAACCGCAGCATCGCAATCGTGGCTCGAATATAAAGACGAGACTTTGACTAGCGAAACAGCTACCGTATCATCGAGAGTGGCGGAGGAAAGAATTGTACCAGAGACCACATTGGCAACTACTACAATTTCAAGCAGACCGATAACGAGAACAGAAGATACGTCTACGGTTGCAACAGTAGCTACTATGATATCGGAGATACCAACTATTGAAACAACGTTGCAAGTAGTAACTACGACCACGATAGAACCTACTGTTGCAACTACAACTTCTACCGAAGAATTGATTACAACTATTGCGACAGCACCAACGTCGACTACAGTGATGAGAAGAATAACGGGTTTGGAAACTAGTTTGAAACCTATCATCTCTAGTACAATAGTAGCTACAACTGCAACAGAAGCTACCACTGGAGGAACATCTGTAATAGAGACTACCAGTGAAAGAACAACTGCAACAGAGACTACCACTGCAAGGACAACTACACCAGAGATTACCATCGAGGAAGTAACTACTTCTACTGAAGAAATAACGACATCTGAAACCACAACAGAAGAAATAACTACACTATTGACTATCACTGAAGGAACAACTACAACAGAAACTACCACTGAAGGAGCAACTGCAACAGAAGCTACCATTGAAGAAACAGCCATATCTCAAATTGTCACTGAAGGATCAACTGCACCCGAGACTACTACAGAGAGAACTACTACGCCTGAAACTACCACTGAAAAGACAATAACGACATCTGAAACCATTGCAGAAGTAATAACTACACTATTGACTACGATAGAAGAAATAACTGCAACAGAAACTACGACAGAAGAAATAATTGCAACAGAAGCTACCACTGAGGGAACAACTGCAACAGAAACTACCAGTGAAGGAACAATTACATCAGAGACTACAAGTGAAACAACTACAATAGAGACTACCAGTGAAGGAACAACTACAACAGAGACTACCAGTGAAAGAACAACTGCAACAGAGATTACCACTGCAAGGACAAATACACCAGAGATTACCATCGAGGAAGTAACTACTTCTACTGAAGAAATAACGACATCTGAAACCACAACAGAAGAAATAACTGCACTATTGACTATCACTGACGAAACAACTGCAACAGTAACTACCACTGAAGAAATAACTACACCAGAAACTACCACTGAAGGAGCAACTGCAACAGAAACTACCACTGAAGGAACAACTGCAACAGAAGCTACCATTGAAGAAACAGCCATATCTCAAATTATCACTGAAGGATCAACTGCACCCGAGACTACTACAGAGAGAACTACTACGCCTGAAACTACCACTGAAAAGACATTAACGACATCTGAAACCATTGCAGAAGTAATAACTACACTATTGACTACGACAGAAGAAATAACTGCAACAGAAACTACCACTGAGGGAACAACTGCAACAGAAACTACGACAGAAGAAATAATTGCAACAGAAGCTACCACTGAGGGAACAACTGCAACAGAAACTATAAGTGAAGGAACAATTACATCAGAGACTACAAGTGAAACAACTACAATAGAGACTACCAGTGAAGGAACAACTGCAACAGAGACTACCAGTGAAAGAATAACTGCAACAGAGACTACCACTGCAAGGATAACTACACCAGAGATTACCACCGAGGAAGCAACTACTTCTACTAAAGAAATAACGACATCTGAAACCACAACAGAAGAAATAACTACACTATTGACTATCACTGAAGGAACAACTGCAACAGAAACTACCACTGAAGGAGCAACTGCAACAGAAGCTACCATTGAAGAAACAGCCATATCTCAAATTGTCACTGAAGGATCAACTGCACCCGAGACTACTACAGAGAGAACTACTACGCCTGAAACTACCACTGAAAAGACAATAACGACATCTGAAACCATTGCAGAAGTAATAACTACACTATTGACTACGACAGAAGAAATAACTGCAACAGAAACTACCACTGAGGGAACAACTGCAACAGAAACTACGACAGAAGAAATAATTGCAACAGAAGCTACCACTGAGGGAACAACTGCAACAGAAACTATAAGTGAAGGAACAATTACATCAGAGACTACAAGTGAAACAACTACAATAGAGACTACCAGTGAAGGAACAACTGCAACAGAGACTACCAGTGAAAGAATAACTGCAACAGAGACTACCACTGCAAGGATAACTACACCAGAGATTACCACCGAGGAAGTAACTACTTCTACTAAAGAAATAACGACATCTGAAACCACAACAGAAGAAATAACTACACTATTGACTATCACTGAAGGAACAACTGCAACAGAAACTACCACTGAAGGAGCAACTGCAACAGAAGCTACCATTGAAGAAACAGCCATATCTCAAATTGTCACTGAAGGATCAACTGCACCCGAGACTACTACAGAGAGAACTACTACGCCTGAAACTACCACTGAAAAGACAATAACGACATCTGAAACCATTGCAGAAGTAATAACTACACTATTGACTACGACAGAAGAAATAACTGCAACAGAAACTACCACTGAGGGAACAACTGCAACAGAAACTACGACAGAAGAAATAATTGCAACAGAAGCTATCACTGAGGGAACAACTGCAACAGAAACTACCAGTGAAGGAACAATTACATCAGAGACTACAAGTGAAACAACTACAATAGAGACTACCAGTGAAGGAACAACTACAACAGAGACTACCAGTGAAAGAACAACTGCAACAGAGACTACCACTGCAAGGATAACTACACCAGAGATTACCACCGAGGAAGCAACTACTTCTACTAAAGAAATAACGACATCTGAAACCACAACAAAAGAAATAACTACACTATTGACTATCACTGAAGGAACAACTGCAACAGTAACTACCACTGAAGAAATAACTGCACCAGAAACTACCACTGAAGGAACAACTGCAACAGAAACTTCCACTGAAGGAGCAACTGCAACAGAAGCTACCATTGAAGAAACAGCCATATCTCAAATTGTCACTGAAGGATCAACTGCACCCGAGACTACTACAGAGAGAACTACTACGCCTGAAACTACCACTGAAAAGACAATAACGACATCTGAAACCATTGCAGAAGTAATAACTACACTATTGACTACGACAGAAGAAATAACTGCAACAGAAACTACCACTGAGGGAACAACTGCAACAGAAACTACGACAGAAGAAATAATTGCAACAGAAGCTACCACTGAGGGAACAACTGCAACAGAAACTACCAGTGAAGGAACAATTACGTCAGAGACTACAAGTGAAACAACTACAATAGAGACTGCCAGTGAAGGAACAACTGCAACAGAGACTACCAGTGAAAGAACAACTGCAACAGAGATTACCACTGCAAGGACAACTACACCAGAGATTACCATCGAGGAAGTAACTACTTCTACTGAAGAAATAACGACATCTGAAACCACAACAGAAGAAATAACTACACTATTGACTATCACTGAAGGAACAACTGCAACAGAAACTACCACTGAAGAAATAACTGCACCAGAAACTACCACTGAAGGAACAACTGCAACAGAAACTTCCACTGAAGGAACAACTGCAACAGAATCTACCATTGAAGAAACAACCATATCTCAAATTGTCACTGAAGGATCAACTGCACCCGAGACTACTACAGAGCGAACTACTACGCCTGAAACTACCACTGAAAAGACAATAACGACATCTGAAACCATTGCAGAAGTAATAACTACACTATTGACTACGACAGAAGAAATAACTGCAACAGAAACTACCATTGAAGAAACAATTGCAACAGAAACTATGTCAGAAGAAATAATTGCAACAGAAGCTACCACTGAGGGAACAACTGCAACAGAAACTACCAGTGAAGGAACAATTACATCAGAGACTACAAGTGAAACAACTACAATAGAGACTATCAGTAAAAGAACAATTGCAACAGAGACTACCACTGAAGAAACAGCTACTACAGAAACCACAAGTAAAGGAATAACTACAGTAGGAACTACCTCTGAAGGAACATCTAAACCAGAGAGTAGCATTGAAGAAACAACCACACCTGAGACGACCACTAAAGGATCAACTACACCAAAGATTACCATTAAAGGAATAACTACAGTAGGGACTACATTCGAAGGAACATCTAAACTAGAAAGTACCATTGAAAAAACTACCACAGAAGTAATACCAACAACTGCTATAGCAACACATATCGTAACTACAAAGGCGCAGGAGATGTCAACGGCTAAAACTGCTTTGGAGCATACTACAATTGTCCTTATAGTGACAACTATACAAGAACCGATTACTACCGAAGCAACTGCAATTATTACTAGTACTCCAACAACAATTGCAAGAGAAACAACTTTGGCTCCTACAACTTCAAGCTTAGTAACGGCTACAACTACAACAGGGACTACCTCTGTAAAAATAACTGCGCCTGAAACTACCAGCGAAGGAATGGCGACAATAAAGACTACGATTGAAGAAACAGCTATACCCGGGACCACTAGGGAAGAAGTAATCACAAGTGAACCTACCATTGAAGAAACAAGTACAACTTTAACAGCAGCAACAGAAACTACAGTGGAAATAACATCTGTAAAGGCAGTGACAGTCGCTGAATCTACTTTGGAAGATATTACGACTATAACTGCAACACCAACGGAGTCCACTACTACTGAACCGACAGCTACCACTATAACAACATTAACACCGACAGAAATCGCAATCTTAGAAACAACTTTGAAACTTACGACCGCAAGTACAATAGGAACTATGACTACAACTGAGTCTACACACGAGGAACCAACTATTCCTCAGACTACTATTGCAATGGCAACTGAAACTGAGATATCAACAACCGAAACAACCGTTACCGAGACTGCGTTAGAACATATTACAAGTACAGTTCTAGCAACAACTACACTACAATCTACAACTGAAGAATTAACAACAGCTCTTGAAACCACGTCAGAGATAACTACAACTGTAACAACAGCAGCTACAATTACAACAGAAACCATCCCTGAAGAAACAACTATAGCTGAGACAACTACCAGTGAAGCAACAACTACATTAGAGACTACTCTCGAAGAAACAACTACTCCTGTAATGACCACTATAGGAAGAACTACACCTGAGACTAGTACTGTGGAAACAACAACTGAGACATCTATTATTGAAACAACTGCAGGTGAGACTACCAGTGAAGCAACAATTACACCAGAAACTACTGAAGAAAGGATTACAACTACAGAAGTACCGATTGAAACTACAGCGACGTCAGAGTTATATGAGGTTGAAACAACGTTGGAAAGTGTTACTACGACTACAACATTACCAATGACTACAATAGAGTCAACCGTTCCTGAGACTACGTTCGAACATACTACAATTACAATAAAGACCACAACTGAAGAATCGACTGCAGCTCTTGTAACAACACCACGGCCAGAAATAACTGTAGCAGAAACAACAGTTTTAGAGGCGACTTTGGAACATACAAGTCCAAGTACTGAAGCAATTACAACCACGACAGAGAGTATTCATGAAGTAACAACCATATATGAGAGTTCTAGTACAGAAACAACTGTATTTGAGACTACTGTTGAACCAACAACGACACTGGAAGCTACGACAGAGACTATTCACGAAGTAGCAACTGTATCTGAGACTTTCATTATAGAAACAACTATATCTGGAACTTCCACAACAGAAACAACTCTATCTGAGACTTCCACTACGGAAATAACCGAACATAAGACTACCATTGAACCAACAACGACAGTGGAAGCTACGACAGAGACTATTCGCGAAGTAGCAACTGTATCTGAGACTTCCATTATAGAAACAACTATATCTGGGACTTCCACAACAGAAACAACTCTATCTGAGTCTTCCACTATAGAAACAACAAAACATGAGACTACCATTGAAGCAACAACTACACCGGAAACTACTACCGTGATCACATCAACAGTAACAGCATTTACTACTGAAGAAATAACTACACCTGAAGTTACCACTGGGGAAGAAATTACATCTACAGTTGAAACACCAGTCGTAACGACGACGACAACGAAGATACCAACAACTGAATCAACATTGGCACTTGTAACTACGACTACAACATTACCAACACCCATAACTGAGACCACGTTAGAACATACGACAACTACAGTAAAGTCTACAACTGAAGAGTCGACTACGTCACTTGTAACAACGCCACGACTAGAAACAACTATAATAGAAACAGTAGCATTGGAGACAACTTTGAAACTAACAACTCCAAGTACTGATGAAATTACAACGACAGAGGTTATCACAGAAGAGACAATACCAGAGACTACTACTGTTGAGACTACGGTTGTAGCAACTACACCAGAGATTACAACCGAAGAAATAACTACACTTGAAGTTACCACTGAAGAAGCTACGCCTACAATTTCGACACTAATTACAACAGTATCAACTGTAACTGAGACTACGTTAGAGCATACAGTCACTACGCTTCCAATGTTAACTACTATTAAGTCTACTACTGAAGAATTGACCACAACTATTGTACCAACTCCAACATCCGAAATAACAAGCTTGGACACAACTTTGGAATCTACAACTCGAAGTACTGAAGCAATTACAACCACGACAGAGAGTATTCATGAAGTAACAACCATATATGAGAGTTCTAGTACAGAAACAACTGTACTTGAGACTACTATTGAACCAACAACGACACTGGAAGCTACGACAGAGACTATTCACGAAGTAGCAAGTGTATCTGAGACTTCCATTATAGAAACAACTATATCTGGAACTTCCACAACAGAAACAACTCTATCTGAGACTTCCACTACGGAAATAACCGAACATGAGACTACCATTGAACCAACAACGACAGTGGAAGCTACGACAGAGACTATTCGCGAAGTAGCAACTGTATTTGAGACTTCCACTACAGAAACAACTGAACGTGAGACTACAACTATACCAGAAACTACTACCGCGATCACATCAACCGTTACAGAGTTTACTACTGAAGAAATAACTATACCTGAAGTTACCACTGAAGAAGAAATTACATCTACAGTTGAAGCACCTGTCGTAACCACAGCAACACTGGAGATACCAACAACTGAAACAACGTTGGAAGCAGTGACTACTAGTATAACTTCTCCAATGCCGACATCGGAGTTAACGATTACTGAGACTACATTGGAACGTATTACAAGTACTATTCCAACAACCAGTACAGTAAAATCTACAATTGAAGCATTGACTACAGCTCTTGTAACGTCAGCAACACCAGAAGTAATCACGATAGCAACAACGACCTTAGAGACAACTCTAGAACCTACAATCTCGAGCAGAGTAACTACTATATCTACAACGGGAACCATCCCCGAAGAAACAACCATATCCAAAATGACGACTGCAGAAACAACTACACGCCAAACTATTACTGAAACTACTGAAGAATTGACTAGACTTGAGACTACAACGGAGAAGTCAACTACTCCTGAAGAGTTGTCTACAACGCTACTAACACTAGCAACGATTGTAACAGAACCAACAATCCTTGAAACGACTTTGGAACCAATAACATTCGGTACACTAGCAGTTATGACTACGACAGAGACTATGCCAACAGAAACGACAGTACTTGAAACCCCTGCTGAATCGACTACATTAGTGACTACGACTGAGACCAGAGAAATGCCTACACCAAAGTCTACGACTAAGGAAATGTCTACAACACAGGTTACTACTAAAGAAACAACTTTAACAATGACTTCCACGGAAGAAAGTACTACGCCTGAAGCAACCACTGAAGAAACAACTACACCAGAGATTACTACAGAGAAAACTACTATATTTGAAGCTACCACTGAAGAAACAACTACACCACAAACTACAACAGAAGAAACAACTACAGTGGAGACTATAACTGAAGAGATACGTGAGTCCACGACTAAAGAGGCAACATCAACAACAGAAACTACCACTGAAGAAATAACTGCAATAGGCACTATTACTGAAGAATCAACTACACCTGAAACTACAACTGAAGAAGCAACTACAATAAGGATTACCACTGAGGAAACTACCACGACTGAAGTTACCACTGAAGAAATAACGACAGTGGAGAGTACAACTGAAGAAATAACTACACCAATGGCTACTACTGAAGAAACTACAACTACCGTAACACCATCTATAATGACCACTGTGCCACCATCGGTATCAGTGGCTGAAACAACACTGGAAGTTGTAAGAACAAGTACTGTTGGTGTAATAACTACTCCAGAAATGACAACAGAAGAAACAACCGCACCTGAGAGTACTACTGAGGAAACAACTACACCTGAGAGTACTACTGGAGAAACAACTACACTTGAAACTACTACTGAAGAAACAACTACAATAAGGATTACCACTGAGGAAACTACTACGACTGAAGCTACCACTGAAGAAATAACTACAGTGGAGAGAACAACTGTAGAAATAACTACACAAATGGCTACTACTGAAGAAACTACAACTACCGTAACGCCATCTATAATGACCACTGTGCCACCATCGGTATCAGTGGCTGAAACAACATTGGAAGTTGTAAGAACAAGTACTGTTGGTGTAATAACTACTCCAGAAATGACAACAGAAGAAACAACCGCACCTGAGAGTACTACTGAGGAAACGACTACACCTGAGAGTACTACTGAAGAAGCAACTGCACCTGAAACTACTACTGAAGAAGCAACTACAATAAGGATTACCACTGAGGAAACTACCACGACTGAAGTTACCACTAAAGAAATAACGACAGTGGAGAGTACAACTGAAGAAATAATTACACCAATGGCTACTACTGAAGAAACTACAACTACCGTAACACCAGCTATCACGACCACTGTGCCACCATCAGTGGCTGAAACAACATTGGAAGTTGTAAGAACAAGTACTCTTGGTGTAATAACTACTCCAGAAATGACAACAGAAGAAACAACCACACCTGAAATTACCGCTGAAGAAATAACTACACCTGAGAGTACTACTGAAGAAACAACTACACCTGAAACTACTACTGAAGAAGCAACTACAATAAGGATTACCACTGAGGAAACTACCACGACTGTAGTTACCACTAAAGAAATAACTACAGTGGAGAGTACAACTGAAGAAATAACTACACAAATGGCTACTACTGAAGAAACTACAACTACCGTAACACCATCTATAATGACCACTGTGCCACCATCGGTATCAGTGGCTGAAACAACAGTGGAAGTTGTAAGAACAAGTACTATTGGTGTAATAACTACCCCAGAAATGACAACAGAAGAAACAACCACACCTGAAATTACCGCTGAAGAAATAACTACACCTGAGAGTACTACTGAAGAAACAACTGCACCTGAAACTACTACTGAAGAAGCAACTACAATAAGGATTACCACTGAGGAAACTACCACGACTGTAGTTACCACTAAAGAAATAACTACAGTGGAGAGTACAACTGAAGAAATAATTACACCAATGGCTACTACTGAAGAAACTACAACTACCGTAACACCAGCTATCACGACCACTGTGCCACCATCGGTATCAGTGGCTGAAACAACATTGGAAGTTGTAAGAACAAGTACTCTTGGTGTAATAACTACCCCAGAAATGACAACAGAAGAAACAACCACACCTGAAATTACCGCTGAAGAAATAACTACACCTGAGAGTACTACTGAAGAAACAACTACACCTGAAAGTACTACTGAAGAAGCTACTATCACCACAATGACAACACCTGTCGTTACAACGATTTCTACGACACCTGAAATGATAACAACGGAAACAGAATACGTTGCTGAGACTGAAACTATGCATGATGTCGAGTACGAAGAGGAATATAAAGAAGAATATGAAGAAGAAACCACTGAGGAATCACCGATGTGGTCTCATTATGTAATAGAAGAAACTACTAAATTTACACCGGTTAAGACAACGAAATTTAAAACCACATCTGTGACAACACTTTCATACGAGGTTACTATTGCAAGACCATTGAAGACAACTACGCCACTTGCAAAAACTACAAAAATTACAACACCTACAAAGAAGAAGGCAACTGAATTTATAGTAACTACCCTATTCGAAAAAGAAGTTACGCCACTTGCAATCACCGAGAAAATTAGTACAGAGAGTCTGAGACCAACCTCTACGACACTAGAATCCACAATTGAATCGACGTCAGTAACTACGGAGTCTGTTTCGGTTCTGGACGTTACAGAAACAATCGAAACAACTACGTCAACGACTGAAATGACTACAAAAACAATGTCTTCTTCGACTGAATTCGCAACAGAAACTACCGAAAGTGCAACGACGTTAGAGTCAGTAACGACATCGTTGTCTACCATTACGACTGTAACAATTGAAGAAACTACAGAAATTCCAACCACCACACACGAAGCAACAACTGAATCCACGACAGAAACTATCGAGAGCACGACTACATTGGTACCAGCAGCTGTAACCACGTATATTACCACCGGGACGTCAGTAGAAACTACAGAAACTACTTCGGTGACCGAATCTACCACCAAACCTGTGATATTAACGACAGAATCACCGTCAGTTAATTTAACTATAGTCACGATAGAAACGACAACTACACTAGCAATGCCAGAAGTAACTGTTGGTACTCCTACCACCGAAAGTATAATAACAACAACAGAACCACTATCTAGTATCACCCACACGTTAGAAATCACAACCGAATCCATAGTCGTTACTACGGAATCAATACCAATCACGGAAAGAACTACTACACCTGTGTCTACTACCGAAACGATGGAAGAAACAACCGAAACACCATCCTCTACTACTGAATTCACAACTGAATCCACAACAGAAACTACTGAAAGCACATCTATGTCGGTGACATCAACAGTAGTAACTTCTACCACCTCGACAACCGAAACGACAGAAGAAACTACAGAAATTCCATCTCCTACAACAGAATTTACTACTGAATCAACTATATTAACTACAGAATCTCTGCCAATTAATGTAACTATTACGACAGAAACAGCAACTATGCTTGTGACCCCGGAAATCACTACAGTTGCTCCCACAACGGAAACACCAACTAGTACCATTAAAACATCGGTAGAAACAAGTGAAACACCATCGTCCACTACTGAATCCACAACAGAAACTACTGAAAGCACAACTATGTCGGTGACATCAACAGTAGTAACTTCTACCACCTCGACAACCGAAACGACAGAAGAAACTACAGAAATTCCATCTCCTACAACAGAATTTACTACTGAATCAACTATATTAACTACAGAATCTCTGCCAATTAATGTAACTATTACGACAGAAACAGCAACTATGCTTGTGACCCCGGAAATCACTACAGTTGCTCCCACAACGGAAACACCAACTAGTACCATTAAAACATCGGTAGAAACAAGTGAAACACCATCGTCCACTACTGAATCCACAACAGAAACTACTGAAAGCACATCTATGTCGGTGACACCAACAGTAGTAACTTCTACCACCTCGACAACCGAAACGACAGAAGAAACTACAGAAATTCCATCTCCTACAACAGAATTTACTACTGAATCAACTATATTAACTACAGAATCTCTGCCAATTAATGTAACTATTACGACAGAAACAGCAACTATGCTTGTGACCCCGGAAATCACTACAGTTGCTCCCACAACGGAAACACCAACTAGTACCATTAAAACATCGGTAGAAACAAGTGAAACACCATCGTCCACTACTGAATCCACAACAGAAACTACTGAAAGCACATCTATGTCGGTGACACCAACAGTAGTAACTTCTACTACTTCGACAACCGAAACGACAGAAGAAACTACAGAAATTCCATCTCCTACAACAGAATTTACTACTGAATCAACTATATTAACTACAGAATCTCTGCCAATTAATGTAACTATTACAACGACAGAAACAGCAACTATGCTTGTGACCCCAGAAATAACTACAGTTACTTCCACAACGGAAACACCAACTAGTACCATTAAAACATCGGTGGAAACAAGTGAGACACCATCGTCCACTACTGAACCCACAACAGAAACTACTGAAAGCACATCTATGTCGGTGACACCAACAGTAGTAACTTCTACCACTTCGACAACCGAAACGACAGAAGAAACTACAGAAATTCCATCTCCTACGACAGAATTTACTACTGCATCCACTATATTAACTACAGAATCGCTACCAATTAATGTAACTATTGAGACGACTGGAAGATCTCCCAAATTTACTGAGCCAGGTGTAACTACAAGAATTCGTACTACCGAAATTATGATAGTAACTACAGAGACGCTAACTAGTACCACTGAAACTACCACACCGGTCACAACTACAGGTATACCTTCTGTTTTGACTACCGAAATGACTGAAGAAGCTACAGAAATTCCGTCCTCTACGACTGAATTTACAACAGAGTCGACTACAGTATCGTTGCCAATTAATGTAACTATAGAGGAGACAGAAACTACAACTACGCATCTAACGCCGGAGGTACCTACAGAAATTGTAACAGTAACAACAGAAACGGCAACAAGCACCATTGAAACGTCTAAAGTCGCAACCGGGTCCACTATCCTTTCTACGGAATTAGTACCAGTTAATGAAACTACCGAAACAATTACGGTGACCACTGCATTAACTTTGCTTGTTTCTACCGCTGAAATAGCAGAAGAAACTATAGAAACACCATCCTCTACTACCAAATCCACGATATTAACTACGGAAATCCTAATCAGTACTACAGAAACCTCAGAATTTACAACTGAATCTGCCATTGTTACTACGGAATTTGTATCAATCAATGAAACTACAGAAGCTACTGAAATAGCAACAGGTACCTCACCTTTCTCGACAATTGAAACTACTGAAACTCCATCCTCTACCGAGTCTACAACCGAATCCACGGTATTAACTACGGAAATCCTAATCAGTACTACAGAAACCTCAGAATTTACAACTGAATCTGCCGTTGTTACTACGGAATTTGTATCGATCAATGAAACTACAGAAGCTACTGAAACAGCAACAGGTACCTCACCTTTCTCGACAATTGAAACTACTGAAACTCCATCCTCCACCGAGTCTACAACCGAATCCACGGTATTAACTACGGAAATCCTAATCAGTACTACAGAAACCTCAGAATTTACAACTGAACCTGCCATTGTTACTACGGAATTTGTATCGATCAATGAAACTACAGAAGCTACTGAAACAGCAACAGGTACCTCACCTTTCACGACCACTGAAACTTCAGAAACTCCATCCTCTACCGAGTCTTCAACCGAATCCACGGTATTAACTACGGAAATCCTAATCAGTACTACAGAACCCTCAGAATTTACAACTGAATCTGCCATTGTTACTACGGAATTTGTATCAATCAATGAAACTACAGAAGCTACTGAAACAGCAACAGGTACCTCACCTTTCACGACCACTGAAACTTCAGAAACTCCATCCTCTACCGAGTCTACAACCGAATCCACGGTATTAACTACGGAAATCCTAATTAGTACTACAGAAACCTCAGAATTTACAACTGAACCTGCCATTGTTACTACGGAATTTGTATCGATCAATGAAACTACAGAAGCTACTGAAACAGCAACAGGTACCTCACCTTTCTCGACAATTGAAACTACTGAAACTCCATCCTCCACCGAGTCTACAACCGAATCCACGGTATTAGCTACGAAAATACTAATCAGTACTACAGAACCCTCAGAATTTACAACTGAATCTGCCATTGTTACTACGGAATTTGTATCAATCAATGAAACTACAGAAGCTACTGAAATAGCAACAGGTACCTCACCTTTCTCGACAATTGAAACTACTGAAACTCCATCCTCCACCGAGTCTACAACCGAATCCACGGTATTAGCTACGAAAATACTAATCAGTACTACAGAACCCTCAGAATTTACAACTGAATCTGCCATTGTTACTACGGAATTTGTATCAATCAATGAAACTACAGAAGCTACTGAAATAGCAACAGGTACCTCACCTTTCACGACCATTGAAACTACAGAAACTCCATCCTCTACCGAGTCTACAACCGAATCCACGGTATTAACTACGGAAATACTAATCAGTACTACAGAAACCTCAGAATTTACAACTGAATCTGCCATTGTTACTACGGAATTTGTATCAATCAATGAAACTACAGAAGCTACTGAAACAGCAACAGGTACCTCACCTTTCACGACCACTGAAACTTCAGAAACTCCATCCTCTACCGAGTCTACAACCGAATCCACGGTATTAACTACGGAAATCCTAATCAGTACTACAGAAACCTCAGAATTTACAACTGAACCTGCCATTGTTACTACGGAATTTGTATCGATCAATGAAACTACAGAAGCTACTGAAACAGCAACAGGTACCTCACCTTTCACGACAACTGAAACTACTGAAACTCCATCCTCCACCGAGTCTACAACCGAATCCACGGTATTAGCTACGAAAATACTAATCAGTACTACAGAAACCTCAGAATTTACTACTGAATCTGCCATTGTTACTACGGAATTTGTATCAATCAATGAAACTACAGAAGCTACTGAAACAGCAACAGGTACCTCACCTTTCACGACCATTGAAACTACAGAAACTCCATCCTCTACCGAGTCTACAACCGAATCCACGGTATTAACTACGGAAATCCTAATCAGTACTACAGAAACCTCAGAATTTACAACTGAATCTGCCGTTGTTACTACGGAATTTGTATCGATCAATGAAACTACAGAAGCTACTGAAACAGCAACAGGTACCTCACCTTTCACGACAACTGAAACTACTGAAACTCCATCCTCCACCGAGTCTACAACCGAATCCACGGTATTAACTACGGAAATCCTAATCAGTACTACAGAAACCTCAGAATTTACAACTGAATCTGCCATTGTTACTACGGAATTTGTATCAATCAATGAAACTACAGAAGCTACTGAAACAGCAACAGGTACCTCACCTTTCACGACCACTGAAACTTCAGAAACTCCATCCTCTACCGAGTCTACAACCGAATCCACGGTATTAACTACGGAAATCCTAATCAGTACTACAGAAACCTCAGAATTTACAACTGAACCTGCCATTGTTACTACGGAATTTGTATCGATCAATGAAACTACAGAAGCTACTGAAACAGCAACAGGTACCTCACCTTTCACGACCACTGAAACTTCAGAAACTCCATCCTCTACCGAGTCTACAACCGAATCCACGGTATTAACTACGGAAATCCTAATCAGTACTACAGAAACCTCAGAATTTACAACTGAACCTGCCATTGTTACTACGGAATTTGTATCGATCAATGAAACTACAGAAGCTACTGAAACAGCAACAGGTACCTCACCTTTCACGACCACTGAAACTTCAGAAACTCCATCCTCTACCGAGTCTTCAACCGAATCCACGGTATTAACTACGGAAATCCTAATCAGTACTACAGAAACCTCAGAATTTACAACTGAATCTGCCATTGTTACTACGGAATTTGTATCAATCAATGAAACTACAGAAGCTACTGAAACAGCAACAGGTACCTCACCTTTCACGACCATTGAAACTACTGAAACTCCATCCTCCACCGAGTCTACAACCGAATCCACGGTATTAGCTACGAAAATACTAATCAGTACTACAGAAACCTCAGAATTTACTACTGAATCTGCCATTGTTACTACGGAATTTGTATCAATCAATGAAACTACAGAAGCTACTGAAACAGCATCAGGTACCTCACCTTTCAAGACCATTGAAACTACAGAAACTCCGTCATCTACGACAGAATTTACAACTGAATCTGCGATACCAACATCGATATCGTTGCCAATAAATGCAACTATAGAGAAGGCAGAATCTACAACTACAACTTTAATGCCAGAAGTATCTATTGGAATTCCTACCACTGAAAGTGCAATAGTAACTACAGAAACACCAACAAGTATCTATGAAACGTCAGAAATGACTACCGAATCCATTATCGTTATTACAGAATTCGTACCAGTGAATGAAACCAGCGAAACTAGTACGGAGAAAACAACATTAACTCTGTTTGTTTCTACCATAGAAACTACAGAAACACCATCCTCTACTACGGAATCTACAACTGAATCCACGGTATTGACTAGAGAAATACCAACTAGTACTACAGAAACCACAAAAGAAACAACTGAAACTATATCAACAGAATTAGTAGTGACTATAATAAGTACTGAGACAACAGAAACTACAAGTAGCCTTCCGATGCCAGAAGTGACTTTAAGTATTTCCACCACCAAAGCTACAACTCTGTCTACGGAATCACCCACGGAACTGTATACTGAACTGACTGAAGAATACGAGGAAGAGTATGAAGAAGAAATGACTACAGAATATCCCGTGTTTCATGACTACGAAGAAGAAGTTACTACTATTTCTATCGAAAGTCCAGCTCCCACTACAGAATCTACTCTTAAATCTAGAAGTACAACTACAGAATCGCTGCCAATTTCAGTAACAACAGAAACTCTAACTAGTACTATGGAGACTCCAGTAATCACAACCAAATTTATCATTGTTACTACTGAATTGTTACCTATCAACGAAACTATAGAAAGTACAGAAACTATCGAAGTAACTACGTCGGTCATAACTACAACTACAGAAGAAACAACAGGAACACCATCATCCACATCTGAATCCACCATAAAAACAACAGAAACTACATCATCCACAACTGAATCCACAATAGAAACAACAGAATTACTAGTGACCAATATTACTACTGAAACAACAGAAACTACAATTAGTCTTCTGTTGCCTGAAGTGACTTTAAGTATTTCTACCACCAAAGCTACCACACCAACTAGTATTATGGTAATTTCAGAAGTTACAACTGAAGAGACGATAGTAACAACAGAATTATTGCCTATTAACATAACAGAAACGACAGAAGAAACAACAGAAACACCATCATCCACATCTGAATCCACCATAAAAACAACAGAAACTACATCATCCACAACTGAATCCACAATAGAAACAACAGAATTACTAGTGACCAATATTACTACTGAAACAACAGAACCCACAACTAGTCTTCTGTTGCCAGAAGTGACTTTAAGTATTTCTACCACCAAAGCTACCACACCAATTAGTATTATGGTAATTTCAGAAGTTACAACTGAAGAGACGATAGTAACAACAGAATTATTGCCTATTAACATAACAGAAACGACAGAAGAAACAACAGAAACACCATCATCCACATCTGAATCCACCATAAAAACAACAGAAACTACATCATCCACAACTGAATCCACAATAGAAACAACAGAATTACTAGTGACCAATATTACTACTGAAACAACAGAACCCACAACTAGTCTTCTGTTGCCTGAAGTGACTTTAAGTAGTTATACCACCGAAACTAGCACACTATCTACAGAAGTCTATACTGAAGAGACCGAAGAATACGAGGAAGAATATGAAGAAGAAGTCACTAAAGAATATCCTGAGTTTCATGAGTACGAAGAAGAAGTTAATGTCACTAAAGGAATCACTACTATTTCTGTCGAAAGTCCAACTTCCACGACAGAAACACCAATTAGTACTGCAGAAACTTTAAAAATCACAACTGAATTCATGATACTAACAACAGAATTATTGCCTATCAACGAAACAACAGAAACGCCATCATCCACAACTGAATCCACTATAATAACAACAGAATTACTAGTGATCAACATAACTACAGAAGCAACAGAACCCACAACTAGTCTTCTGTTGCCAGAAGTGACTTTAAGTATTTCTACCACAGAAGCTACTACACTGTCTACATCCACAGTAGTGCATACCGAAGAGACTGAGACCGTTGTTACAGAATACGAGGAATACAAAGAAGAAGAAGAAGAAGAAGAAGAATACGAGGAAGAAACCACCGAAGAATATCCGCAATTTCGTGATTACGAAGAAGTCAATGTCACTGAAACAATTTCTACCAAAGTTACTATTGTTCCCAGTAAAGTACCATCGTCCACTATAGAATCTACTGTGCCAATTAGCGTAACTACAGGATTGTTACCAGTTTTTGTAACCATGGAAACGACGCCATTTTGGGAAGCTAACCTCACCACTTACTCGAAATCAATAGAGTTCTTAAACGAAACTACCGAATCGAGTTTGGTTCCCACAATTCCAGAAGTAACTGCTGAAACAACGGAACTTACCACTGAAAAAGTATCAGTTGCTCCAGGAACAACAGAAACTACCATTTCACACATTGTTCCAACGCATTTGATCCACGTAGAAATCACAATTCCAAATGTGACGATTACTACAGGTGCTACCATAACGGAAGAAGTTTACGCTGAAACTGAGAAAATGTACGACTACGAATACGGCAAGGAGTACAAAGAAGCGTACGACGAAGAACCGAAGGAAGAAGAGTACGAAGAGAGCACGGAAATTCCAATATGGCGCGACTACGTAGAAGAGAACTTGACGTCCACGGAGGAAATCATCAGAATAGACGTAACCGTTACGATTCCAAACGCGACTGAGGAAATTGTGAGGACAGAAACTGAAGAAGAAATGGCAATTACAACCGTCGTGTATACTTTGGTGTCCACGACGGAATTTACCACGGAATATTTGCCTCCCGATTACTTTGAGGTTAGAAACGAGACCGAAGTTAAGTACACGTCGCCTTCGGAAAAAACGTGGAGCATCGCTGTAGCAAATGTGACGCATTTACCGTTAACGACGGACAAAGAACAGAAGATGATTCGTCAGGAAGAAATGAAGAAAGAATTAATCGAGAAGCTGGACGAGTTGGAAAACGTCGAGAAAGATATCAACGAAAGAGAAGAGAAATTGGCGAGGGAGCTGATCCAGTGGGAGCACGAGAAAGAGTTGCGATGGCAGAAGGCACACAAACAGGAAAAGGAAGTTAACGTTACCCATATAACCACTCCAACGAAAATTGATTCCAGCACGCGTGGATCGGATGTTTCGTTCCCGACTGTAGTTCCTGGAAAGGATATAACGACCACGGCAGTTATAACGACGCAAGACATGCTCGAGCACGAGGTCAGATCGTTGGAGGAAGAATTTTCAGTGAAGGAAAAGGAATTAAAGGAGAGGGAAGACAATTTGGAGGAAAGGGAGAAGAAATTCGAGAGGGAGAAAGAAGAATTCGAAAGGGAGTTGCAAGAGTTGGCGAAACCGTCCAGCAAATCGTACGACGGAACGACGAGCCTGGTCGCGCCGACAACGCCATCTGTCACGCAGTTTCCACCCACGGAGAGAACGACGATAGAGATTCACGAGCCAACGGCGAGAAAAGTGACGCATCCGACGACGAGGGTCTGTCTGAACGTTCTGAAGGAGAAACCTGCGGGAAAACGTATCGAGAATTTGGCCACCGAGAGGATTTGCTTGCCGTATGTTCCGGATAAACCGAGTTTATCGAGAGGGAAAGACACGGAAGAGGAGAGAATTAAGATCGACAGCTTGAAGCTTTCGGGCCACGAATGGACGGAAGGCACGTTTACGGGAGAGCACGGCAATAACCAAGAGGAGTCGAGAAGGTTTAATGAGGAGAAGGTTCGATTTAAACGGTGCAGCATTTGTCAGGTTCGCGATCGTGAGTGGAAAGACAACGGTTCGAGCTCGAAATTTCATTATGCCGTGACAAAGGTTGGACCCGTAGAACGAATCCTAACGAACGAAACAACGATATTGGAAATCAGAGACGTCGATGACGAAAGAATAACGAGGGAGAACGAATGCAATTATGAAGGGACCGTTGGGCGTTTCTCGAGAGAGGAAGAGAACGTTTTGCAACGGCCCGTCGAACGTGGCTCGACAATCGATGAACGAGGGAACGTGATCGATTCGAGCAAGGACTCGCGCCCCAGATATATCAGGCAAAAAGGTTTTCAATTTTTGAAATTATTACATTGGCAAATAATTAAAATTCTTCACGCTGGATTTACAGGATAAAATTACGTTAAAATACGATTTTTCATTTTATCAGGTTGCATATTCGTATTGTTGAAATAATCAAATTCAGAAGTCGTTTTAATAATAAAGATTTAATATAATTAAATTTCTAACAAATTTGTTGCAGGCAAAGGGAAACGCAGGCAAACTCCTGGCCCAGAATGGCCAACCGAGCCGATTACTTACCACATAGGCGGTACCAGGTCTTGGACCGTGATGTTCCCCGAGCCTGAACTTCCGGAGAAAGTCGAGTCCGATGACAGGGACGAAGTAAGCTCGCCGGAGCAAACAACTTGTTTCTATGTCATCGCTACCGACGAAGAAACTATAGTTGAAAGCCCCGAGGTGAACTAAAACACGGAAACGTTGAATTCGAACGACTGAAATAGCGTAAACGTAGTTAAATAATCGAATAAAATAGAGTGGACTACAATGAAATTATTATGTAACGAACGAGGCATGTTGCACGTTTTTCTTTTTTGTAATATTATTGCACGAAAATCCACAAAATTTACGAAGACAGGTAATGTGACATAAGTCAATGTAATAGCAGTGAGATATGACATTTAATGTTGTAAAAATTGTACATATGTATATATATATAATTATGTACGAATAAACACGATTAGAGAATGAATTTTAATTCGAGAAAATTTTTACTATTTATTTTTAATGGAATCATTTTAATGGATAAATAACAAGAATAATTATTAGATTAATTATTCCCGATACTAAATTGTGATAGTTGGTTTTTTACATAGAGTTGATTATCTATAAAATAGATATATTATGGTATGAACATGGCGGGGAAAAAAAGTTGGCAACGAACGAGGAATGTAAGGTTGGTAGTATGGCGGTATGCGTAGACAGAAAAAGTGCGTAAGAGTATGAAGAGTGAATTAATAACAATTATTTTGTAATATCATCCAATGTATCTAGAAATATATATCTTTACCTGTTAAACAATTATTCCACTAATACCCACCACATAAATTGCATGCAAATTAATACCAAATGAGAAATATGAAATATAGAATAAAATATCTCAAGATTTCGATGGAAATATATTTTTCTTGTGACTGAATTTGTAAGGAAAAATAAATTCTTGGCAGCTTTCGATCGCAACGAAATCGAATGGTTGATCGCACAAAGCTAGTAAGTTAATTACAAGCTTCATAGACGGAACAATACTGGGACGGGATAAGCTAACCCCAAAACTCAAACCAAGAGCTATCTGGGCAACTAACCGATCTCGGTTCACCTGTTTCCCGAAAGTCTCAAAGCAAGGGTCACTTCACGATTACAGAGGAGTCTGATGTTTCCACCAGCTGACCATCAAAGAGATTAAACATAAAAATGTGAAAGTAAATTTCGCTGTTTCAACACGAGGCCCCCCCAAACGAACAAATTTTCATTTCTCCGCTGCTTATTTTTACACGCAGAACGTTTCTTTCCTTGCGAATTCCTATTTTTCACAAATTCGACAATTAACCAACAAAATGATGTCTTTTTTGTTTTTTAGAGAAACTATATTTTCGTTATTACTTTTTTGTATAAATTATCCGCGTATAGGGTTATTATAGAAAAATGTTGGGGAACATTCTTCTTATGTGGCGGTGAAATATTCGAACGTCTTGAATAAAGTGGCTTGCTATGAAACTTTAAACATCCCGTGGGGTATTCGTTCTTCGAATACCGTTCCTTAACAACCTTATACGTTAAAAAGTATAGCTATATCAAGCGTGTTTATTTGATTGATAGAAGAGAATATTGTAATAGAAATTTTAAGGTTAAGAAACAGTCCCACGTTTTTTTTAACATTTTTAATACGTTCGAAAAAATGCACGCAATATTTCAAATTCATCTTTTCTTCGACACATCTGTACAGTTGCAATTGCGTTTGTTTTTTAATTACTTCGTTTGTAAACGTTCACTTTTTACACGCTCTTTTTTAATATGTTTCTTTTCCAAGGTATGTAATTACCGTGCATAAAGAGCCAAAAGGCAATGCAAAGACTTGTGGTAAATTAAAACAAAATTTGAATAATTGTTAGCACTGTAAAACAACAATACTAAAAAGGAAGCGAAATAATTAGTTTCACTTTGAAAAGGAAGGTTAAGCATTCTTTATAAGGGACGAAAAAAAAACATAACCTATTATAAACAAAATTTTTTAAGTGAAATTCCATGCTAACGACCTTAAAAATTTACAAACGATTAAAAATTGCTATTTAAGAGGGAATGTGTTGAAAAGCTGCTTAAAATGAAAATGTAATAAATAAAATTCGAGTAAACGCGTAAATAAAAAACCGTCTTCGGTATCTAATTGTAAGCCAACTTTTACAGTTTAAAAAATGTGGAAAGAAACGCCTCGTTACGCTTAATTAAGAACACACGAGGTAAAAACCTGTTGAATAAAAAATTTTCTCTCGTGCAATTTACGTATCGTTAGTCTCAACAGCTTTCAGAGTCGTTCACGCAAAATTTAATTCTAAAAAGAATGTTAAAATAATATAAAAGATAATTTCAATTCACTATGCAAACAGATTTTATCTGATTTAAATTCTTTCTTTTTGCAATTAATTTATTATCACCTATAAATAACATCCATATCAAAAATGACAATTTTGTTATGAACTGAACTCGTTAATAAAACGCAGTAGAAATATCGATGCTCGTAATTTTTGAATTCCATTTTTCGGTAAAGTTGGTAACACGTAACCAGCAATTATTTCTGTACAGATTTTACGATGCCTGCAATTATTTTCCAACGCAAAACTGTCCGATTGCAAACATGCTTGAATTTTTTGTATTTCTTTTTTAAACAAAATTTTTCCAACCCATTGAAACTTCACCCACAGACATGAAATAAAAACGATAAATGGATCGTGATAGATCCTCTCAATCACCCACGTGTCTTGATAACACGGAATTTCTTTTTTTTATCTTTCGTCGTCGTCAGTCGATAGGGTCAGTTCGAGTTCCAGCTCTTCCGGAATTCCTGTGAGAGAAACTCGTCACGAATCCGATAATTGCATGTGACCAAACTCGAATTACACACGATTAACAAGTTATTACTATCCTCTGTATAACGCATATTTCAAATCGTACATTTATTGGCAAATATTACGAACTATACACTTTCTTCTTCGTTAAGGGGTAAGACCATTGTAAAAACCGGGAATGAAGCGTTCTTTTGCAATTTGTTTTTTTGAATGGATGGAAAAGTAAGAGGAAGAGCAAAAAAAATATTTATTAAAAAATAGTGCAATATGACGGCACTGGAGCCATTCTCGCGAGGCGTGTTTTCTATTGTAACTGACCCAAATTTGTATCTAGAAAAAAAAAACAAAAACTTTTAATCTACGTGAGTGTAGCCAGAGAAATATCCTCGATAGGTTAATTTTAACATTATTTATTGAAAAATGATTGCCCCATTTTTTGTACGATATTGAACTTCCTATTTCAAAAATCCCCTACGTATTTCTTCAGTTGTACTCATGTGGATTAAAAGAAAATTTTTTGGTTTTTTTTTCCAGATACATATTTGCGACAGTTACACTGCGTGTCATTTTGCACTATTTTTGAATAAATTTTTTCTTTTGCAACACTTAACAACATGGTTAATAACATTCTTAAACATTATTATCCTCTTATTTTTGCATCGATTTAAAAAAAAAACCTTTATTTCAGGTTTCTACAGTGGTCTTGCCATAACCTAACCTAATCTAACCCAACCATTACACTCTTAGCGAGGGAGGGAGAGGGGGCAAAGAAATTGTGACAAAGTTTATTTCTCTACAATAATATTATACCTAAATATACCAAAAATTTGTGTTCGATCCCTGAGAATTCGCAAAATCGATAACATAACACTCGGAGAGTATCCTTATAACAAATTCGGAATAATGTTTGCGTTAACTCGCGACAACGGTACGATCCACCCTATAAAAGTTAGTTCAATTACGGAAGTTTCAACAACGAGCATGTTGAACGTCGTAGGCGATCGTTCGGTCAGTGTATCACGGATACACTGTTCGGTTACACACTGTAACCGAATCACATTGAAACTGTGGCGCTGCTTCGCTGCGGGTAGGGGATTTCGTGAGAATTCGTAGGAGGGCAGAAAAGGAAAGGAGGGGGCGCGTTTCGTCCGGGCCTGCCAGTGGACTCATCAGTAAGGCTTTCTAGCAGGCCCTGCCTTAGACGACTGGGATATTGGGAAGTCGTTCGAGGAGTGTATATATAGCAACGGAGGGGTCGGTCGAGCGCTTGTGAGAGCGCGACCCCTCTGGTGGCGAGCATGGGAGGCGACGCCACAAAACTATAAGTTACAGCTAGTCGGTGATTTGTGAGGAGCGTCTTTTGGTAGGTTTCGGTGTTCGATGGTTGGAACGAACTGAACTGAATGACTCTTTTTCCTTAACATTACAGGTCGCAGGAGTTCTGATTGGTGTTGGAGATTTGAGTGATGGTAAGACGTGGGAGGGTACAGTTTTGTAATTGGATGTTGGAGAAGTCGTGGGATGGTTATTTTGGAGAAGAAAGTAGGAGGAAAGTGGAAGACGATCAGGACGAAGGAGTGGTCTTGGAAAAGGAAAGTCGAGGTCGTTGCAAAGGATGACGGTGCCTAGGTTATAAACTATTTCCGAACTTTGAAAAGGTTTCTGGCGATCAAATGTCGCTATTGTTTCGTAGTGGCCTTGTATCGGCACGCACCGGCTACAGGGGTTTCCCTTGTCCTGGGTCTAAATGGTTATGCCTTCACGCTGTAAGACGTTGCGACGCAACATAGCATCTTCGATGTTTCGTAACAGCACACCGGGTTCCGTGTTCCTTTAAGGGGGTCTTCTACTGTGAAGGCTGTTTTTTTCAGCTTTCTTTCGGAATTTTTTTTGAGGAATAATAGAAACACACACAGTTATAACTTTTATATCGAGTGTATTAATTATTGAACTTTGTTTACAAATTTTTGTAAAGCATAATAATAACAATAATTAGTTTTATAGCACTGGAATGATGACCATGTATAAAAAATGTTGACGGATGGCGCCCATGATTGACGATTGTTTATTCATCTGAAATTGAAAAATCAAATAGCATTTTAATATGTAGATCTATGGCTATCGTGTGAACTAGAATTAAATAAAAATATTCAAATTTGAACATTTGACAAAGCTTTTAAGAAAAAAGTGAATTCTTCGTATTTTTTTTTCAACCTTTTAAGCTACAGAACAAGAAATTAGTAAAATATTTCAATTATCCTAGTTCACACGAAAACTAGAGGTGTATGAAAGATGTGTACGAAATTATAGCGAAATCGGTTGAAGACTTTTTGAGATATCGTGGGCGCC